AAAATTTAAAAAAAAATGTAATGTTTGCGATAAAAATGACCTTTTATCGGGATGTTTTTTGTACTTAAAACTGCCATAACTTTTTCAAAAATGAACAAATAAAAATAATATTTTTTTGTATTGAAACCTTAGATATTTCCCTTTCATTTGATATAATTTTTTTTGAAAATCTAACACTTATTCTGCTCACTGAGGGAATTTAAAATAGTAATTTTTTTACAAAAAATAACTTTTTCAACTTGATTTTTGATAATGTTCCGGAAATACTGCGTCCTTTAAACATATATAAAATTAAAGCTTATTTTATGTACTACAAAATGAAAAAAAAAAATTTGTCCCGACGACCTATCTTCTATACGCAAATGGCTACCATATTCAAAAATATGCTATTTTTGTATGAAAATTATGGGTTTTGTATTTTATTTTAATAGAAGTTGATGTTGCTTTTGCAATTATCCAACAATTTTTTAAAATTAATCACTATCTACAGATTTGCATCGAAGCGTTTCTTATGATAGTGATTTTAATCACTGTCAGATTAAATCTAGACTGAACCCAACTATGCAATGTCTCCACTATGCCGCGACCCCACTGTGCTACCGTTTTTTTTACATTTTATTTAAAATTAAAAAATAAATAATATTTTTATTAAAATGTAAAAAAATTAATTATTGAGATATAGCTATGGACCTAACGTATAACTATTATTTAAAAAAAAAATCAGCTAAAAATATTAACTGGATCAAAAGTTATTTAAGTTGTCAGTGAGTGGTAGGCCACACTGTATAATAGAGTTAAAAGATTAATAAAACATCTGTGAAAGTTGCAATAAATCCTATTTAAACATTAAATATAAAAAAATAATTTTATTACATTGTATAGATGATTAAATAATTCTTATTTAAAATTTACAACAACCACTTAATTTGTTTAAAATATTTTTTTCTATATTAGAATTTTTAGGAATAAAAAATTTACTTTAATTACATAATCGTTAGCTACCAATAAGTTTTGCTGATCAACAGTGTTGGTAGAATTACTTTTTTTGGGGTTTTAATTTAAATTGAAAATTGGTTAATAAATTAGAAGTTAAACTACTTAAAAATCACTCAATTTAATAATTAATTAAGTGTCATTATTTTTATGAAATAATAGTATCTTCATTACAATAGTAATATTTTTTCGTTTATACGTTAAAATCAAATTTATTTGTATTAGAACAGTAAAAGCTATTAAATTTCACTCAAAGGAGTATTTATAAATTCATAATAGTCGAGGGGCGCAAAAATTTTCAACTAACAAGCTGCTATTAAAACTTTCACGGTTATTTTTACTCATTTTTATGATTATTCACAAAAAAAACCAGTAAACATTTTTATACTAGCGTAGCATTGCCAATGGGCGAGGGAGGCACGTGCCCCTGTGCTTCCTCTAAAGACGCTACTAATTTCACTAAATTCAATTAATTTAATTTCAAAATAAAATTATAAGCGTGACGTTAATATAGAATTATAATATAATTTAATTGTGGAGTGCTATTTGAGTTTGAATAATCTTTAGGCGTATCAAAGTGAAATTCTCGGGTTAAATTCCTTCTTTTATTTTTTACTCTCTCCCCTATAAATGTATACTGCTTTTTATATAAATAAAACGCTCAAAATAAAGTAAGGAGTTATTTTTAAAAATTACCATTAAACAATAAATGGAAATTAGAACAAAATTATTTTTTATTTTGGTAATTAAATTATACTAAAATTACTTTGTAAATAGTTTCGTTCTTGTAACTTAATTATTGTATCAGCTTAATTATACGTGACAAAATTAAATAAAAACTGTAATATCATATTACGTCGACGGATTATCTCGATCATATCACCTTAATGGAGTTTCTATCGTCAAGAAAACTGCTCATAGAAAAACAGCTATGGTACTCTTTGGGACCTAAAAACAAGAAAATATTTATAAAATTAGAATAAATAAATTTTTGTTGTTTTCAAGTATCTATTAACTAAAAGATATTTATATTCTCTTTTTTTTTCTATTATTTATAATTGTGTAATGAGATTTTTTTAATATATTACAAGTAAAATAAAAAAGAGTGGATCTAATTCAATAAAATTCATTAAGCTTCATTTTCAAATTACTATAAAATAAAAAAATTATTTAATTTACCAAAAAAACCATCTATTGTACTACGTCGCCTAGGTTTTGGTGTAAATTTTTTTTAATGTGATAAATCATATAAAGCTTCTATTTCTTGGAGGTTGCCCAGAAGTTTTCATTGGTATTCTAAAATGACAAAACCATAGAGTGTTAATAATTTATAATCCTAATTTAAGGATATTAAACCTTTGTGTTATTAAAAAAAAAATGAATTCGTTAAAAACAATGCTCCTTTGTCACCTAAATACTATATATTTTACTTCAACGCTATGCATTATGTTTGACCTCAATTAAATTATAGCTGCGATACTTATTGAACAGTAACATTAATTATTGATGTCAAATAACAAAAGAAAATTTTTTATCCAGAGATTATATACTATAAGGTTTATTATTATATATATACATCTATAAAACAATGATTATAATAATTATATATTATAGACAGTAACCACTGTTAAACATTTAGAATACTATATATTTACCTAGTTATATGAATCTTTTATTTGCAACATACTCAATGATATTTCTATGTTAATCGCAATATTGAATTTATTTAAAATAAGATTAATATTTTGTATTTATTTCATAAAAATTATTTGTATTAAAATATAATCTTAAAATAATTTAAATAATATATTATTCAACTTTTTTAGCACAATTACATATGTATATATTTATTTAACTTCTATCAGAGTTCTACTAAAGTTATTACAATTTAATTATTGATTCACGACTTCATATTAACCTTGAATAGATTTTCTTTTGTACAATTTTTTTATATTTTATTTTACAAGTTTGTTTTACACATAAAAAATATAAATCACAAAACTTAAGCTATTTTAATTAGGGTGCATAATGGCGTTCAACTACAAAATCAAGAAGGCGTCATTAAGTATGGTCTTTTTTTTTAACAGTTTTATACATTGGTATTGCTTTTAAACGATTAGTAAACGATTTTACAACATGGTTCTCAAACTTTAATCTGTTCTAAACCCGCATCTACCGTTTTCATTGCTAAATTATCCTGATTATTAATAAACCCGTATATTTGAACTGAAATAATTCATAAGTAATTCCCATAAGTACTGAATCTACTATGGAATTCCTATCATATCACGGTTTGTCGATTTTAAATTTACAGTAAATTTAAAACAAATACTTAGTATTATAATAATATTTAGTTAGTAATGGAATAATAATTTCACTCACGGAAGGGAGTACGTTTATGATCATTTTTTTTACTAGACACACATCAAATTAACACCTTATAATTTTTGTTTTTTTTTTTCTTAGGAAATGGCCTTCATATTATTTTGTTATGGTATATATACTATTTTAAAACGCCCAAACTGTAGTACTATTATAATTAAACGAATAGGATGATTAAATTACAATAATAAACTTCATCTGTATTTTAAGATTAGCACGAATAGATGTTACGTTATTAATGAATCCATTAATCTCTCAGCGAATTGTCTCTTTTTAACTTTAATCTGTTTTCAATAAATCGAAGTATTAATTCGTATCATTTTACTCTTAGTCTTAATTAGATTGAATGACATTTCAATTAAAAATAAAGTGCTTTAATACTTTTTTTAACAATGGTAAGAATAATTAAAATTTTATACAAAACAAAAATTTAATAAATTCCTTTATTTTATTTTTTACTGTAATTTTGTATTACGATCACTTCATTCAACAAGAACTATAATTAAATTACTTAAAAAAAGTATTAAATGGCTCATGCAGTTAGAAGTATTCTGAGATATTGTAATCCATTATAAAACTTTAGAAGACTCAAAAGGATTATTTCAATAGTTTATGTTAATATTGTACAAATCTGTTTGAAGATAATGCAGATTTTGAACAAGAATAAGGATTGCTAATTCTGTACAAATATCTGTGATTAAAAACTCGTTCACCCAACACCGTCCCCAACATGCATTAATTTGAGCGTTGTAAATACCTGACCATCATAATACCGACACAACATCGGGGGGGGATTAATATTGCCCGGCCATGTTAAACCGTCGCTTGAAAGGTTAAAGTACTTTTAATGTACTGATCAAATGGTCTGAAAGTAGTCGCGGTTATGTAGGTGCAGGTGAAATCTTAAGTCCATTAAACGGCTCTCGATGTTAAATTGCGCGAGACACCAACTGAAATTCTTAGAAAGGAGGTGTCGGACACGGGTATAGAATAATGATATACGGATATTTGGATGAAATCAATTTCGGTGCGCGCTGATAGAGATCGCGAGTGTTTGGACCTGGACGCGGTTTGAATTAGACGTAAGGGCGACAGGGAACAGAATAGAAGAGAAGGAAGTCGAAATGTCGCTTTACGCTGTTACCCGGTTTGCCGATTCGGGGGGCACAGTGTATGTTGGACTGGGATGAGCTATAGGTGAGGTGGGGGGTCAGGTTGTGAAAATGTAAAATGTACGAAAAAACCGTGGTATTCCCAATCCTTGGATGGGGTACACATGAGAGCCGTAGGGTACAGGGGTCGACGGTTGTACATATGATGATGGAGGGTGGTTAGCATGGTACCCAGTGCGCGCGCATTGCCCGTAAAATTTCATATTGCACCCCGCCGAGCGGAAAACGGTCGGTTTTAGAACCAGTGCAGTCGCAGTGTGAAGCAGCTGTCGCGCGCGCGAGAGTGTGTTTAGGCGCCCTCCCCCGAAGTGTTCCTGTCCTGAAATAACAAGCACACTTCCTTTAAGGTAAAAACAATAATTTATCCCAATTTAATAATCTTGTTCGATGTTCAGATAATTAACCACGTGTACGAATGAAACTTCTCTAAGTTTTAAAGTATATAGATTTAAATCATTTATTTGATAAAAATCATTGTTATTTCATAATTACTTAGTCAATTGGGTTAGGTTTACTTGTAAGTTATATAATAAATTTGTTAATAAGTATAGTTATTATTTTGTCATGTTGTCAATACTTTAAAGANGTTAGGGTAATAATAAAAGTTAAGATAATACTTAGGGTTAGGTTTACTTGTAAGTTATATAATAAATTTGTTAATAAGTATAGTTATTATTTTGTCATGTTGTCAATACTTTAAAGACTGTATTTCATTTGGACTAATATACTTATTTCAATTAATCTACTAGTTCATTTAATTAATTAATGAACTCTAAAATTATCCAAAAAATTGATGTTCAGAAATTTTACTTTTATTTAAAGACATTAGATGAGTGCATTTTACTCGTTACTTTTGTTTAAAAGTTTTTATCAGTTAGTTGTAAATTATGATGTTAGAAACTTTATAATAATTTTATCACGTTAGTCTTTTTTAACTGTCGATTTACTTAACTATTTTTAATAGTATAATAAAACATGTACATAAATGGTAGTACTGGACCAAAATATTTACAGAAAAAGGTAAAATGTTTTATCTTAATTAAATGCTGCAAATATGTTATCGTTAATATAATAATTTATTTTTAATTTAAAAATATTTCAAAACGAAATATTAAATGGCATTATTATATCATCATAATTGTATCTTCAAAAGATTATTGAAAACTTTTTGTAAAAAAATTGTTTAGCAAATAGAAGAAAAAAGATCTATGGTCATTAAATGTTGAACTTTGTACATAAATTTCCGATTACATATTCCTTATTGTAACTTTTAAGTCAAGAACAGATAATTTTTGTTTAACAAAAACGTTTTTCGTGATCTTAAATATTTTCTAACAAAATGACTCGGTTAAAACAAAAAAGACAATTATTTTGTAATGAATACGAAACGTCGCTTTATATGATTATAATACACAAAAAATAAATAAAAATACTTGAACGATTAAAATAAAGATTACTTATTAAATAATAGGCATATTTAAGATTTTACTGTCCTGAATATAATTTATCTCTCAAAAATAATTTAATTAGAAGAAAATCGTCAAGCCCAAAAATAGAAAAAAAATGGCAAATCAAAAAAAACTGGTGAGCACAAAATAGTGTGATATCATAGATAACATTACACAATGTTTCATAATATTATCTTTTGCTTAAAATTGTGGTTAAGTCTTATCTTGCAGCATTGGACATAGACATGAAGAATTTACAAAAAAAATCTGCAGTTAAATAACTTCTCTGGGTGTTATAAATGCTAAAAAATCCATAAAGTTGTGCAGAATATAATAATAACAGTAACGGTCGACTGTTGTTTATTATGTTTTTAGTATAGCTTGCAGGTCAACCGACCTGCAACTTGATTTACTATATTTTTATATCCTTAAAAATTTCTATATATTATATAAGAATTATAATTAAAAAGCATAATTTTTTTGCTAAAATAAAACATTTATTTCTAAAACAAAGAATAGTCAAACTATGCGATGGTCCCCATGATACGCCAATTTATTAATTTATTTTAAAAATGTTCTTAAATCCTTTTTATTGTATACTCAAAAGGTATCGTGTTCTCTTCAGTACCATATAAGTATGATACTGTTATTATTCATTGTGTCAATGATCCTATTTAGATATAAACAGAGTAAATTATATTGTCATTTATTTTGTACACGTGTAATACACTTGTTAAAAATAAATACAATTCATACAAAAGTAATAAATTATTATTATTTTACTAACAAATATTTTTTTGATACACAATATAAGCCCATAAAAAAAAATCACATTCTAAAAATGAATCATGATTTTAATTCAAAATATGTATTATGTGCCTGGAAGAGTGTGAATATGATTGACGTATTATAATCTTTAAATGTAATATTTTAATCTTATACCGTTATCATTATATTTGTGACATTTTAAACATTAAATAAAGCTTAGGGTTGAAGTATAGTATTATTAAACATTTTCTATTGGAAGTTTGTCATCATCTCAGCGCATGTGTAAATATTAATTTTGTAGAAAAGTTATTTTAAAGACATTTTTAGAAATATGCTTGTTTTTGTTGAGAAAACAATTCTGATAACTTTTGGTTTAGGAGTATATAAGAGAACAAATCTAAAATTGTAAAAAACTTTTGATGTATTAAATGAGTTTATGTGGAATGATTCTTAACAAATATTCTGTACATTTTTTTTAAAAATTGATAGTGTAATGTCTTACTTGATTAAAATTATTATGTAATGTTTTACAAAATATTTATTAAATTTTACTGTAAAACTGCAATTCTATTTAAATAAAGAAGTTAAGCATTGTTAAATAGAGCAGTCATGAATAATCAATTTTAACAAGAACCTTATAGTAGTAGTAGAACCTTAAGATTACTAAAAAGATTACTAGTAACCTTATTTAAGGGTTAAGTAAGTGTACAATTAACTTCTGAGAATATAGTATGAAGTTTCTTACTAATTAAAATAATAATTTTTTGAATAATTATATACTAGTAATTATAATTATGATTAAATTGTTTAAATTTAAGTTCCATTATTGGTGGTTCAAGTAATAATCATAACCATTATAATTGTAACTATTAACAATTTCTAATACATATTGGAAAGCTATCATAAAAAATTGGTGTCTACTAAGTAAAATTCATAACAATATTCTAATGTTTATTAAATTACTCATATTGGTACAGATTTACTTATCGCCATAAATGAAAATCACAACTATATAAGTTTCGTAAGTTAATATACGTATAAATATATTTATTCCATGATAGAACACATTTTAATTTATTTTTTTCATTATTACTGTTTATTATCATCAAAATGTCTTGACTGTACGTCTCCATCATTACTTTCTTAGTCTAAGCACATAAGTGTTAAAAATTTATTTTATTCTACTCCTGCCACAGGCATATTGAAAAAAATAATTAAAAGTTTTCTAACAATATTTTATTTTGTAGATCCTTTTGTAAAATTTAATTCAAAATGTATTATTGTTAAATTTTATTACTACGATTTTATATAAGTAGTCAACTTCTAACAACGAACACAATATTCAAATATTTTATATGGACTTTTTCCATTTGTACCTAATTTAACAACTTTGGATCTCAAGAAAATATGAGGATTTTTCAATATTATTCTAAAATCTTTACACGTAGAACCCTAGATTTTTTTGGATTTTTTGATAATTAAATTTACCTGATAAAATAAATTGTTTATTATCTCATATATATTAATTCATATCATATACACACTTTTTCTAATATTTGGATCAATCGGGGCTGATCCTAGGGTAACTTTTGAAAGTGTGTGAAGTACTTGTTGCCAAGTGTAGGTAATAAATTTGCTGACTAAATTAAGTGAATGAATAAAAAAATCCACAATATATTGTAAAAAATAACGACTTTAATTTACGATGGGAGGTGTGACACTCCCCTCATAATTACCTATAAAATTGGCCCTGGGTACAATTAATTTAATACTAATAAAAAAATTAATTAATTGAGCTATCATTCAAATTCAAATAAGGACAAAGATTAAGGGAAACTGCATAAATACTATTATCTTGTTTAAAATCTGTTTGAGTCAGATACAGCCATTTATATCAATGAGACATTATAACTTTTAGTATTCAATTGTTTCCACGAGGCTTACGTATTACCTATATAAATGTTTGCACGAGTTATCAAAACCAATCCTGCCAAATGACATAATATACAGCGCTTGACTAACAGAAATATCCCTAGTTTGAATTAATCTATTAAATATTTCTCTGCTTAAACTTAATTGCCAAACTTGCAGTGGCAATATAAATTATATTTTTTATGTTTTTTGATCTTCAAACATGTTAATTATAAATTGTAAATTTTAATTCTATTAAATTTTGATGTCACACGCTCTAAGAAAAAAGTTGTCAATTAATTTTCTTGATTTTTCATTTAAGCTACCTCAAGTTCCTTATTACTCCTAAACTACACATTAACGGTTTGGTGAATTATAGTTATTCAAATTTTCTTTTTGTTGAAGTAAAATATTGCCTTCTTCGTCATGATGTAGAAAATAGTTGTCTATAAATAACTTATTAATTAAGATTTTTTTTATCTTTTCCATTTCCTTTAACCTTTGGACCAATCACTCTTTACTTTTCCTAGTTTTTAACAGTATTGTATACTTTGTTAGTTTTCATTTGTCACCTAATAAAACGAATTGAGGTACTCTAGAAATATTTTAATTCCTTTAATGGAGAATGATCACAATACGCTTAATATATTAGCCAACAAAGTGAGATACGTATAGTGGTGGACACTTTCCTGGGAAAGTTATTTTTTAAACTGTATAGTAAACAATCATGAAAATTCCGGGAGAGTGTTCATAACTTGACAAGTCTTATTTTACATATATTGTTCAAAATATTAGAGAGTGCATCTCGTTAAAAAATAAAATGAGTATTTTGATAAATTACAAAATATATTTGTTTCAGTCACACTAACCAATGGCGTCCTCAAAAACACCTCCAGAAATACCACCACGTAGACACAGTTCAACCATATCATTAAACAAGTAAATACATTTTTTAAAATTAACTTTAAAAATTCTATAATATAATAAACAAATAATTACATTTAATGTGTATGATTTGATTTGTAAAAAAAACATAAAATGTGTTGTACTTTTGAATAATATAAAATAAATATTTTGTTTTTAGAAATTCTATCTCAGACTCTCAGCCCTATTCATCTTCAACTATAGAACGTAGACATTCATCATCCATTGATGACAACTCATATTGTGAGAATGATGACGTAAGTTATTATGAAGCACTCATATAATTCGTATAGTTGTTATTACATTAACACCAAAGTAAAATTGTGAATTGTATAATTATAGCACTAATGAACACGTGAAATCTATGCAAAATTACTGTATTTAAACAATTTAAGATAAATCATTTATTAATTCTAATAATAAATCAAATTGAGCAAAAATTTAGTAAATAAATAGTAAAGTTATTAACCATAGAATGTTTAAAAAATATATCAAGGTTATTTTCACTTATTAGGATATATTTGTTGAGATCGTAAAGCGTGATGGAGAGGATAAGACAGAGAATCTAGAGCGTAATAAACCATTTAAAAAATTTCCTTGGCAAAGGAATCATCTTGTGTACTCCGAAAATACTGATCAAATAAAATATTCCAAAAAAATTACACTTTACATAAATGTCAAAATTGAGAAGATTTTTCACTGAGAACAACTTATTTCTTTAATGTAGGGATTTAATAAAAATGTAATCTTTTTGTGCGTTTTTTAAACTAAGATTAAAAGCACTTAATGTTACTTTTTACTTAATACTTGAACAATCAATATACAAAAACACTATAATAAAATTACATATAATACGTGATTTGTGTAATCAAGTGGCCTCAAAAAGGGAATAACATTTTTTTAATGTTCATAAAAATGAGCTGTTCAAAATATGAAACCGATCTGTTAAGGTTAACCCGTGACCTCGGATCTATTAAGTTGAGTTGACGAGCCAATTTTAATACAATTAACTGACCTATGTCTCATAACTTTTTTTTTTTATTTAGCTTAGAATAATTCTAAGCTAAGTTTTACTTTCATAATTATTATGAAATTAAAACTCTCGTAAAGGAAATTTTATAAAATATTCAAAAATAATAAAATCAATGTTGTTTTCCTAATACATAGCTCACAAAATCATTACATGCAATAAATAAACATGTACAAATCTTAAAAATACATTATAGTTAAATTTGTTTATTCTAACTTAAAAGTTTAATTTTTTATGCTAAATACAATGATTAAACTAGATTTATTATAACATGACTAGTTCATTAATTATTGATTAGAAAGCTAACTAAGTTTTGAGACATAGACACAGTTTTATTTTAATATTGCTAAAAGTAAGCTGTATAAAAAATCAAACTATGTTTGAAATTGAAATATGGTTAAGATTTAAAATTTATTTTAAATATGTATTACTTATTAACTTAAATATATTAATAATATATAAGGTAATTTATTAAACACACTACACCCATTTTTTCGTTACATATTAATTTTTCCATATAAATGTGTATATTAAAATTTAATTATTTTTTGAAAATATTAAGTTTATTACAAGAAAAAATTATTCCTAATGGTAGATTTTAGGAATAGCTTTCAATAGTTAATATCCTATCATTATTTTTTACTATTAAATGTAAAATAGTCTCAATAAAATATTGACCAGTCAATAACCTGTTTTGTATTGTTACTTTTTAAGATACTAACATTTCAAGATTTAGCAAAGGTGAGAAACGGTGTAGTGTTTAGCAACGCTCTATTTTTACCAAAACTCACAGGTTGGAATTCTTCTACGTTAGACACCACACTCGCCTTAAAAAAAAATCATGTTAATTCAAAAAGGAATGGTACAATACTAGTTATCGACCTGTCAACATTTTATTTAGATTCTATTAGTCTTAGACTTTCATATAGGTCTTGGGCGGTAAAAATATTTTGTGAAAGGCTATTTAAGGGTTTTTTTATTGAGTACTCACACAATCTTTCATCATAACTTAACCAATTTAATTTACATAAATAATTCATAAGAAATAACTTTAAGTAATATGCAACTATATTATTACTTGAAAAATATATCAATTAACGAACTTCAATAATTATTGAAATAACATTATCATATATGTTAATCATATCTTTTAGAACTACTGTTAATAAATATTTATTAATTGTAAGCTGGTTAGTCTATGATAAATACTAATAATTTTATCACATAATAATTTGAAAACTCGCGTTTCAGTACCTTGAAAAATACACACATTTTAAGTGTAAATTGAAAATTTTCATAAACATCAAATAAATATATGATGATTTTGTTTTTTTTTTTTTAATTTCAATTATATCACTTATTAGATAATGGATACAAAAAAACTATCACCACACACGCCCTACGTGTATACCTATGTAATTTTTTTTTAATTTAAAATAACTTTTGTAGCAATATAATAACACGCATATATGTAGCACTTAATAAAAAATATTTTTTTTACTTACATTTAATTGTAATATTTATATTTATTGTTATTTTTCACGATTTATCGTATCTTAAAGGCGTTATTATTATATAATAATTACCATTAACTTATAATGAAGAATTATCTATGTTCTACACTCCGATGAATATATCAAAAATATATTGTCAGTTGATGCGTTAAAATTTGATGACATATAGTTAATGTGCTATCAGTCAAAAATTCAATGGTTATTTTGAATAAATGCATTTTATGCTTAGCAATTTTCTATAACATAAAATAAAATCATTGAACTAATAACGTTATAACTTTAATGCAATAATCAATTAATATATTTTTTCACCTAAAATATTTATATTAATAAAATCATATCTTATATGTTGAACTATTAAAACAAATATAAAAATAAAGATTGTTATACTAATAATTTTAATATTTAGTTTATTAATTAACTTGTTAACATAACACAAAATTTTAATGTCATTTATCAACATCACAGACATTATTTATAATAATTTTTCGAATAAAATTAGGTTATGAAGTATAGAAGCCACACTAGTATTTACAGTCTACCAGCATATATGATATACATAATGTTTATTTCATCATTGACATGTAATAAATAACCCTACTACACATTGACAAATGTAAGAATCAAGATGAAAGTAAAATAAATAAGTATTTCATTTTTGTAAATAAATAAATAAATTACAAAAGAACGAATGTTTAATATTTGACTAAAAGAAATATTCGACAAAAAATTTTATTTCAATACAAAAATAGTAAATCAATAAAAATAAATATAAAATATGAATTAATATTAGTCATAAAAATCAATATTATTTTGACAATTTTATCACTATTTTTCAATTTGTTTTTACTTTGTTACTATAATTTTTAACTTGACACATATGACGAGTAAAAATTTTTTTTCAACTGAAACTATTTGTAACTACATTGAAGTAAAATACGTGATCATAAAACTAATTAGTTATTGAAAAATAGAAATCGTTATACTGAATATATGAATAGAGTTATAAAATTGATTTAAACATGAATAACAAACTTTATTTAATTTATATTAGGATTCTTATCTATCAGTTAATTAAAACATTCTAAAAAATGAATTCTGTTACAATAATAGCCAACAACAATATAACAAAAAAAGACTAATTTCCTCCCTGTATTTTCATTTTTAACCCAAGAATTTAAGTTATACATTTTATTGATTTTACTATCTCGACATAAATCAACTTTATCTACATCCTTAAAGTAAAATATTAAGGTGTCTTTACTTGTTAATTAAATTGTACAGATTAAAAAATGTGTTGCTGAATTAAAATTAAAATTTGTGTTTAAAATTACACAGAATATAATAAATATGAATAAAAAAAATTAATTCTAATATAATTGATACTTAATTTTTTTTTTTTTTAATCAATTTAATATTTAAAATTTGTAATACAGTCAAATGGACCAACTTATGACAGTTAAATATGTGTTATCATTTTAGTCGTATCTACTACACTAGTAAACATTTTCAAAATCTTGTAAAATATATAAAAATAATATAATAATATATACACAGATTGTTTTTTCACGGAAATTAAGCGATAAAATAATTAAAATATCTAACTGCCCCAAGAACTATAGAACTATTTTGGCCCATTTGACGTTACTTAAACATTTTTAACTGAATAACGTTCTTTCTTAAAAATTAGCCAACATAATAAAGTAAAGATCGTTATTCTTGTGTTCTAAAATAGAAATTATTAAGTTGATAACTTGTTTTTAGCTTTGGGCAGTATACATACAAACAAACCAAATATAATAATACAATTTAAAAACTAAAATGATGGTTAAGCTAAGTAAAATATTTGTCTGAGTAATTTGTTTAGAAATTATATATATTTATATTCATATTCTCATTTTAATAGGACCATTTTTTCTGTAATTAAATTTCATTAACAACATTTAATTGTTATAACATTAATGGTCTTCTTTATTAACCTTATATTTGGGCGTAGATAAGTCCTAAGGGTCTGTAATTTTAAAGATTTAGTCTATTTAATATAGTTGTTCAATAATTCGTAAACAAATCATTTAACTAAGTTTTATATAATATGTTTGGAACATTATGTAACTGTTGTTCTCACTTATTTTCATATTTCATTTGAGTGGTGCAAGGCCATCCCCTAATTATTCATTTTCAATATTTCCTATACGATATTTAAGGTATCGAAGTCGATGCAGAATATTCATTCAACATTTTTATGTTTAAAAGTGTTTTCCTAGCATTTAACTACTATCATGAAGCATATTCAAGTAAGTGAACAAATAAATATTTGATAACTACTACTATAGCATATGAAAAAAACATAAATTCTTGAATATATTTAATATTTCTAAAGTATGTTGAAGTTGTTTTAAGTTATTAGTAAAATCATATCTTTCAAAGCTATCGTATAAAATAAATATTTTTTCAATTTTAATTGTTTAAAAATAATTCATGATTTTCGTTTCAGTTATCAGTTGTCCGAAATACATAATTTAAATGAGTTTATATGTTGATTTTTATTTAAACAGCAGTTCTAAAACACTATGATTACTTAAAAATTAATTTACAAAAAATCATAGTTTTATAATATGTCAAATTTGTTAAAATTATTTTGTTATAGAATTCTAAAAATGAAGAATAAATTTTATTAATGTTTTTTTTTTTTAATGTTTGAATGTAATTATTTCTGTAAATAATTAGAAACCAAGAATATTTAATCGTAATTATATGCAATTTAAAATATTACCATTTTATTATAATCTAAAAAAATAGAATGTCTAAATATATTTTTAAATAAAATAAATCCGATTGAATACAATATTTTAGTGAATCATAAATACAAATGATAGAATTATAATCAATGATTTATTTTAGGTATTACTGTACTTTACCTGTTTATGCCTTTTTTTCGTTACATCAAAAGTTATTGTAACAGACAATGATTGTCTGTCAGATTACGAAATTAACCAACCAAGTCTTGGTAATTTGGAAGAACACGCTATATTGCAACCAAATGTCAGAATGGTACCTACTCCGTTACCAGCCTCATCTTATTCGTATGCAAAATTTGCTTCACCTGAACAAATCTTAGCACCACTAGCTAGAACCTCCGCAAACTTTATCCCTACAATGTCATACGCTCGTTCATCACTTAGCTTACCTCAAGAAGCACCAATGGCATTTGAAACAAATGCCAGAATGATATCTGCTCCGTTACCAGCCACATCTTTTTTGCATACAAAATTTGCTGCACCTGAACAAATCTTAGCACCACTGGCTAGAACCTCCGCAAACTTTATCCCGACGGCACCGACTATATCCCTAGCAAAGAAATTGCCAATAGTATTAAATCCTAACGCTAGAATGATACCTACTGCAATGCCGGCCACATCATATTCATATTCTAAATTTGTTGCACCTTCTGGAGAAATCTCAGCGCCAATAATAAGAACCGCTTTAAATCTAAATACTGTGCCATCTTATGCTCATGAATTACCAATAGCAGCAAGTGCAAGAATGATATCTGCTCCATTGTCCACTACATTGCACTCACATACAAAATTTGTTACGCCTGAAAAAATATTAGCTCCTCTCGGAAGGACCGCAACAAACATTATACCGACACCATCATATGCTCAATCTTATATTTATCCTTCTCAAACATTACCAATGGCAGCTCAGGACATTGCGTGTGATACTTCAGAAACATTATTTGACCAGACACCTATTGCAGGAAACATCATAGCAGCTCGTGACAGTAGATTATCGTCTTTACCTATCATAAATGCAAGAACTGCGTTATCAGACTCATCTTGGGCTCAAACTAATTTGCTAACAAAGCCACTAATTCAAGCAAAAATGGAAAATGAAGAAAATATAGCTTTAGAAACCGATTGTAAATAAATATGTATAATTATAATAAACAAATAACATTAATATATATCAAAAATATGGTTCTTATTCATATAATATAAGAATTAAATATTTTTATAGGAAATAAAAATGAATTGTGAATGATCAAAATCATTAAAATATATGATTTAGAAATAGTTGTAAAATATTAAACATTTAGTCGATTTACTATTTCAAGCTAATTATGAAAACTTTGAGTAGATAAAATTATTTGCATAATATTATACAAGTAGTACATGAAATCTATGTTTAAAATGTATTATTGAAAGAAGTACAGTAATTGCATATTATATAAAAATAATACAAAATAAAAACATATTGTCTAAAAAAAAAATGTTTGCATTTAATATCAAAAAATAATTTGATATTCATTTTAAGTAAAATTTAATTAATTTTAGTAAACGAAATTTTTTTGAAGTAATAATTTTATTTTTATTTATATACAAAACGATAGATTAACTATGCCTCCACAATAGCATTATAAGTTTGAAACATATTATTTTTTTCTTCAGAATTTACTAGTATTCTATGTTTTAGAATTGTCAATAAAAATAAGCAATATCCCACTCTCTGTTATCATTAAAGTAGTATAAACTTATGTTTATAAAATACAAACATATATGTTAAATTAACTTGAAAAAAGAAAAACATCTAACTTTGAAACTGACTGGTTCGATAACAGTTTTTGAAACAATATTTTATAAGATATTAGCACTTTTATACTATGGTGGAATAATTAGTATGAGTCTGTTTATTTTTATCTCTAGGTTATGAACCACATATATGGTTTTAAAAAGTGTTTAGCTACTTAATATAAAAATATATAATTACTAAAAGACAAAATTGGCATCAACAATATTATTTTATATGAATATATTAGTTCACATTAATTGTTTTTTATCGTATGGGCTTTTTAGGGCCTGGTAACGACCTTAATACGACTTATCCTAAAATACGTTGAAAGCGAATGTATTTCATGGAAGAATATAAGTTTACCTATGAAATCATTTGGTGTACATTCTTTAGAATGGATAATCTCAAATTGTTATTTTATGTATTAAAATTCTACATAACAAATATATAATAAAAATTGATCACTTGTGGCTAATATTATTCGTATTTACTTATTTTAAAATAATCAAGTTAGTTTTTAGATTTTCTAAATTTATCTAATTAAATTAAGCAAAATAAAATTATTTTTTAAATAAATCTTAATACTACTGAAAAAATATTAATGCATATTCAATTTATTAATATGAACTTGTCCCAGTAAAACCTTATATTAATTTTTGTTTGGAAGAAATTCATGCTTTCTTGATATTATTTTGATTTAAATTCAATGTAAATTAAACTAAGGAATGTTTAATTTTAAAGATTTAATTGTCTGTTTTAAATATGAAATACAAAAAAAAACACTTTAATTGAACTACTTTGAAGTAACAGGAAAATTTAAATTAAAACTATACTACTTTTTGATGAGATGATCCTTTATGAGTGTGTAGTTTTTCAAAGCCTTGGTGATGCTATGATTTTATTTAAAAAGGATAAACATTATTAAAATTGTTTCAACTCTCTTGATCTAAAATTAAAATGAAGTTGATTACAATTGTTATTTACTTCGTAATTATATTGTACTAGGATTTTTATTTTTATACTTAACTAAATGTATGTCTTTATTCATTGTTTTTTATAGATATCTATATCCTCTACTGGGAAAATTCCAATAGTGCCCGCCAGACGGATTCCCGGTCCGCCAACAATAAGCCCTCGCCCTCGCCCTCAGTATAAACTACCCCCTCCGCCGCGCGCCAGTGAATCACTAATAGATCGTCCAGCAACCAAAGATTTTGCTGAAGAACAAATAAAAGATTTACAACAAGTATCTAAAGATACGCGACCTGTAACTCCACCACATCCTCAACAATCGTCTAACTTACAATTACAACAACCTATGCAGCCCCAGCAACTACCTCCGCAACCTCCACAATTACGAACCAGACGATTTAAAGTACCTCCTCCTATCAAATGCATTGCTGATCAGTTATTAGATGGTGGTAGTCGGGAAAGTTATGAGATGATGACACCAATGACAGCAGCAACCATGTCACCAAATCGACAAGTATGTACTGTAACGAAAATACATTTATAATATTTACACTACTAGTTCTACCTAAACTAAAGCAGTTTTATATTTTTATATAAAAAATAAAAACTCTAAAATTTAAACTGAGATTCTTTATTTGATAAGAATTAAATTTCACCAAATAGTTTAGTTAAATGGATCTAAATAAGAAAAATAAATCACATATTTCTAATTGATATTTCCAAGAATTGAAAATGTGTTCATTTGAAGTATATTGTGTTAATTTTATGTGTTTACTTTGTTGGGCGATTTTTAAAAACTATTGTAAATAAATTATGAACACTTAGTCCAATTTATTTTCACGCAACATACTTTTTTTTTGGTTAATAAATATAATTTAAATTCAAATTTTTGAGTATAAAATTTATAAAAATCGACAGCTCGTCAAATATAAACGTAGTAGTAAATTTCACTTAAATAACTCTGTTTTTTTTTCTTGTTATTATTAATCTTATTCGAAAAGATAATTTAATAAAATATTCAGTTATCTTTTTAAAACAGAGTTTCACAAAAAATAAACGCTGTAATAAAATTATTCATTTTCATGAGAAACCTAATTATCATCTTTAATAATATTTTTTTTAATATTTCAAACATAAGAGGAATGCGTTTTTGCGATAGCAAAATTTTCATTAAAATAAACTATTTTGTTTTATAACAGTTTTATGTGGTAGAAACGAAATAAGTCTTACTACTTTTTATAGGCTGTAAATAAATTAAATTGTGGAAATATAACCTCTGATATAAATCAAAATTGTATTTTACTTTACTAAAAATTTATTATTACTTACAGCGGCGGGTTGATAAAAAATAGGGGGGTTACAACCTCATCATAACGGCCTGTTTTAATTTTTGTATAAATAATTGATGTTTTAATACGATATCAAATTAAAAAAGTTAGGTAAAAATGCTGGTATACTCCAGTACTATTTTTCCGATACTAATAAAATATCGATACCAAAAAGTACTAATATTGAAAGAAAGTATCAATATTTTCTCATGTCGATAGAATCGCAACGCCCCTTAGCACACAATCAGAAATTATTATAATTGGGTCAAATGCAAAAAACTACCAACACAGTTATTTATTATAAAAATGTTTTTAATAAAGATATACAATTTTCTTTTGTCCTGGCGGCCCAATTCGCTGCTGATTACTTACACTTTTCATCATAATTTCAAAGTTTATATTATTTATTATAGTGTAATAATTAAACTAACAACAGAGATTTAAATATATTATATGAATCAATACAATTTATAATAGTTATAAGAAAATTAATTTTATATAATAAGAATTGATCACTTGTATATGGTTAAAAATTTTAAATATTTCTAATTTTATAATAATAAAAGTATATAACAGTATTAATACGACACATTTCATAATAGTATTATAATTTATGATTAGCCCGGAAAAAATAAAATAAATAAATAATTTTATTTAAATTAAATATTATTTTAGTTTCTTAAAATATTAAAATATTTTGTCATATTTGCTACATTTTTGTTATATCTTTGTTACTTTTCTATTTTTACTTACTATTTTACACTATTTTGTTTCCTAGGATAGTGGACATTGGAGTGACTCGTATAGTGTAAACTCTTCACCAGGTTATTCAACAAAAAGCATGGAAACACCACTACTATCACATAAAATTCTTCCATCGCGATCAAATAAAAAACGTTTTATACTAGATCGATATGTCGTGTGTGATCAATGGAATGGACGAGCTCGGTTCTCACCAGCAAATAGTGGTCAAATTTGTTCGAGTAGTACTGAACTGACGAAGAGTCATTCAACACCAGCCAGTTTACAAGCAGTAGTGGAATTTGAAGAAAACTCACCAAACTCTTTAAGACATCGAGTAATTTCATTATTCACTATTTAATAGGAATCGTTTTTTCTTAACAATATCATATAGTTTTCTAAGATATCTATTTGAAGTCATGTCATATATTAACACAACACCGTACTCCGTTCATAAAATAATGTACAATAAAATCCTTGAATTTGATATTTTCATTGAAAATTGATTTTATTGAACTTCAGCTGGGTTACACATAAATTCACTTTTTAAAATAAGTTCCCGTTGTAACATGACCTTCAAATTTTTACATAAAACTGTCCGATCGGTTTCCGTTTACTTGTTTTTCTTAGCAACAAAAAAATTTCTATAGAAAATTATATTACTCAAGATCGATTACTTTACATTGTGTTGTCAGCATCTCAGCACTGTACCACACTAAGACGTCTGCAAACCGCGATACGTGCTTTTTTCGCTATTTGTTTGCCACCCTGTCACAAGTTTATCATTACAAGTGCGGTCCTTACAAAAAACGCTATGAGGCGTGATGTATTATAATTATTATCGCCGTTCATGATAAAACCCATAATCTTTCCGCAGAAAATCATTTAAAAGTCGCTGACGTTAAATCCCACATAAATAATTTTAGTGTTTCTACGTTGTAAATATTTTACTACTCTCCAGTAATATCTTACACAATATACTTCCAAAACATATAAATCAAACCATACTACAATGAATAACCATAATTTTGTCTAGGAAGAAAATTCGAAAATATACTTAGCGTGTTAATAATCTATAATTAAAATATTATACTTAATAGTTATCCCATGGCCAGTCTCAAGAGCGATATTCGCCAACTAAGATATGTGATACCAATAAAGCACTAGTATTGTACACAATATTCCCATGGAAAATTGCCAGTATTTGTCTTCTCCTTTATTTATTATTATAACTTAAAAAAACTCAATATTATTTAACATTTTAGAATAACTAGAAATCATAATAATGATATTTGGTTCCATGAAGAATCAGAAACTAAAAACAATATTTCTGTTATTGACATATTACTGAAAATATAAAAATAGCCACTACACTCTCCTCCCCTCTTTGATAATATTTACTATAACTAATCTCTAGTCTAATAATACGCGCGACTATAAAAAACATAAGATCATTCAAGCTGAAATCCAAATGTAACTCACACGATATTGAGAATTTACGCGATTACCAAACAATCATCCAGAATGAATCAAGTGAGTGCCACTCATGTAGTATTATCTAAGAATAATATATCGTTAATTTCAAAAAGTAAAAAAATACTAATATTATGAGTTTATTGATATATTTTCCGATGTTTATTAATAATTGAAGTTTCAACAACAAATTATAAGTTAGTTAAATTTACTAACGTTTTGGAAAAAAAAAAAATCTTAATTTTAATTAGTTTTATAAAGCTTGCAATTAAACCTTTTTCTGTTCATAAAAACAATTCCTAGTTAATAAATGATTTTTTTTCTTAACGATAAAAGAATTTTATCTTACTAAATACTCTTTTATTTAACTATTTTTATAGAAAATAAGTTATCGTTAGAGAATTTTTACAGAAAGTTAATATTACACCAAAAAGAGTGCGATTACTATTATAACAAAAAATATTTTTAAATGCAATCTTGTATTGTATTCATTCGGCTATTTTATTTTTAATTATAATCTATGTTTTTAAGACTTAAATGTGAATAATGTTACATAAAAATTCCTATGTATCTTTTAAAAATGTATTTCCTTAGGTAAAAACATAAAAGTAAAATTAGTTTTTTGTCAATGTTTATTTACAATAAACAATTATGTGAAACAACGGCAGCTATAAAATATATACATATTAATTAAATATGCCCTTAAAGGGTAAAATATGAGTATACATGCATTAAATTTTATATAATTACGTGGTTAAAAAAATAATAATAATTTACATTTATCAACAAATTTTAAGAAAATATTACATAAAAATCAGTAATCATTAAAATATACCAATATTGAAGAGTAAGTGATTTGATATAACCATTTTTTCATTTGGAGACATAATTATATTTCTACATATTCGAAATAATATAAGTCATAAGAATTGTAGTATAAATGATTTGAGTTAATCTACACTATCATAAAAAAAATAAAAATAATGTATTTCTTACAAGAATATGAAAATTGATTTAATAAAATAAATGTTACACAATTATGAGAGCTTATAGGAACATAAAAAAAATTAGTTAACGTGTATAAATAACAGGTACCTTTAAACCTATTTCTTTTAATATTTTTGGGTAATCAACCATATAGCATTGTAAGTACTAAATGGCCGTAACTCCAAAAGTTGTTGTGAGATAAACGGATTCAATGTTTTAACATTCTATAATAGTTACATTGCGCGCTACTTTGTTTTGGAAATATATATTATAATCATGTATAAGTTGCTTGCATATTTAGATAAAATATAATAAATTATATCAAAATAGCATTTATTATAAATTTCGATGTATGGCTCTTTCACACATAGCGCGATGTTATTTAATAATTTATATACAAACAAGCTATTAACTAAGTTACGTCTAGACTCTAATGTGCGAATTTTATGTAAATTGCAACATTTTTAATATTCTCATTGAGTATTCCAATTTTGTAAGCAACTCATATACTAAAAACACTTTTGAACTTTAGTTTCGTTTTAAAAAAACCGGGTTTCTAATTGTTTTATCACAAATAAAATTTAAATGTTTAGAAAAATTTAAATCGTTAAATAGTATCATACCATAGTCGTGAACTTGCATATCTTTATCTATATTCATTTTAAAGTTTGATAAAAATATTTCTTTACGATAGGGGTATATATACATCATTCAAATTTAGGCCATTAATTTGACACTAATTATAAAAAAAACATCGAGGTCATAAAGAAGAAACTTAATAACACTAATATCATAATAAGTAGAAATAATTTTAACTCATTAGCAAGTAAAATATTTAAATGTAACGGAAAGCATTAGCTAGATATTTTATAAGAATAACATTGCATTCATTTCTGGAAATACTTGATCATTAATAATTTTCCAAATTAAATTTTACTGAAATTTCTTGTTTGCCTTATGCTTTCAACATTATATTTTATATAGTAGAAATAAGATAATACCAACATTTTCACAATAGGAATTCATATAAATATCTATTATAATTGCAAGAACTCTTTTGAAATAAATTTATTTCCAACAACAGTAATAAAGAAAAAAAATATATAAAACTGAAATAATGATTTTTAATGGAATATATTTTTGTCGCGTTAAACAAATTAATAACATATTTTTATGACTTGAATTTTTCAAAATGTATTCATTTTTGTATTATTAGGTAATGGGAACTGAAACGATCGATGTCACTGAAGTTTTCATCAGATTACAGCGACGACAAGTTCTCTACAATGCCGCAATTTTGATATTTATAACAGCCCTTTTAATTTGTTTTGTGAGAGGTAATTTCAATAGTCTAGTAGTTAAATGCGCTTAATGAAAGTAACAAAAATTATTTTGTGCTTTTCTAAGTCGGTATACCGGACAGTAATCCGGCACCTGTAGCTGGCAACAAAATTGCATCAAACATTGTGAGAAATGGTGACACTAATAGTCTAGAAAAAGACATAAAGTCTACCGACAAACATGGACCAGATCCATTACGAGTGGTGACGACCACTGCTGATGAACCAATAACTAAAATCAACGGTAAACCTTTAAAACCCAGAAAAATCATGATGTTTGGTATAAGGCTGGACATTAAACCTCGTTAAACAATTAATATTAAGTTAATTTAATTAAGTTAAATAACTCGTAACTTTTTTGAAGACTTTTAACCTTGTTACTTTTTTAACTTAAACAACGAGATAACTTCAAGTTAATTCAGCATAGTAGTATTAAAGTTACGTTGAGTTTTTATTTCGCGATGCTCGATTTTTCTCTAATAACTATCTACTAATAATATTTCATTTATCTTGAGTGTATATGTTTTAATGCCAAGACAAAAAATAATGTGTATTACTTTATTAATTATGAAATTTCTCATTAGGTAATAGGAAGTAAGAACATTGAATTAGCAAAATATTTCATATTTTTGTTATGCTTAACCAGTGGTGTTTTATATGGTATACAGCGTATACCCACTAAAATTTTTTTTAATTAACGTATACCCATAAAAAAATAAATCTTAAGTACATTTAATATTGAAAGATAACGTTTACAAATCAGCGTATACCCTAAAATAAAGTAAGGGTTTTTTGCGAGAACACCATTGCTATAAACTATACTAATTATACGAACTGACACTAAATAAGAAACACATACTCCCCTCGTGCACCATATTACCTCATATGTTTAAATTTAGAATGGTTGAATATTCATTATTATCAAAAAGCATTGTAGAATGTTGACACCGTTACCTGAGTAAAATGTTAGGGTACTAGAGCGCTATGAATTAAGTTCATTGTTATTGTCTAAAATCAAAATAATGTCATTTTGCATTTCATAGTTTACTTTATATTATTATAATGCAAATGACAAATAAAATCGGTTCTATTTAAAAGATTTTTATCAGCAATTTTCGGAAACAAATAAATTTGATTGAAACATAATAATTAAACGTTCACGTTGTTTACAAAAAAATCGTATATTTTTATTAATATTTTATTTGTGATTTATATTGACCGTTTATACCAAGTGCAAATTCAACATTCATTTATAAAAGGGTGACAATGTAGAAAGTAATAAATAATTCTATTCTTACTATTTTCCATGAGGAAACTTTCGTGAGAATGTTATTACAAGTTAAAAGTAATGAAAAAGGAACCTCAAAGGTTTATAGATTATAAACTACAATTATCAGAGCATCTTTTTCAATCTTTGGAGAAAACTTAAGAAAAAATACTAATCGATAATCTTTAAGAACATAATATGTTTAATATTATTAAGAAAAAAAAATGTATTGATTTATTAATTTTTTTTTTTTGGCCAGTTACTTTTAGTTACTCCTTAACTTAATCTTTCTAAAATTAACATAACGAGTTGAAAATGTGTTGACATGCCCAGCCTTGGTTTGATATATATTGAAATCCAACTATGTGTTTTTTCAGTTGTCACAGCTTCATCGTACGACATTCCATTTGTACACCCCATTCCTAGTCTTACCGATTACGCCAAAAGTAATTTAAAAACCAAATAATTTTTTTATATATATTGTAGTTGTTATAATAAAAAAAAAATATGTGATCATTTATTAGTTAAATAAAATGTTTAAAAATAGAGATCACAAATAAAAAATAATAAATTATTATTAATTACACGTATTTGCATGATTATACGTACTTTGTCAGTGTCGATTTGGTCCACCCTACTAGCCGAGAATCACCAGAGTCTATTAGATATTTTCAAATATTACAGGACCATAGTCAATGACTTCCCAAGCAATTCCAGATGCAGAGGAGTGATTTCTCACTGCTTTGCATTCTGGAATTTATGAAAACCCCCTTTCCATTATAAATTCTTAAATACTGTACTGTATTTCCAACTGTATATTATATGGTGAGGGTCCAAACATGAGACAATTCGACACTGGACTTTAAATTATATAATAAATTATTTTTATTTTTACAATTCTACAATTCATTTGAGCTCTGAAGGATTAAAACAATGGATTAATATTTATCAATGAGAGGCTACTTACAAATAATAATAATAAATAATATATATATATTCTCCCATTGATAAATAGTAATCGATTGTTTTAATGATTATATATTCATGTTAATATATAATTTATATATAATTAATATATATATAATTTATTTAACACTGGATGGTGGTTACCTTTCATAATATTGTTATAATAACGTATAAATGCTATTAAACGAACAAAGACCGACCACGCGATTTAATTAATTTAGACTGACGATCGATTTTTAAAACATCTAGGCACCCTATTGAATTTCATTTTTAGCAATCTACTATATTTTATCTTATAAAAAATAACATGGAGCTCAAATGGATATTCCCATTAAAACACTTCTTTATATTATTCAAAGTAAATTATATTAGCGTATATATTCACGAAACAGTAGCTTAAGTTGTTTATTTTATTGTTAAACAGCACTAGGTATGTAAAAAAAAGTTTTTTTTTAATATATTTTTTTTTTTTTTTAAAGAAACTAATTCAATTTTTTTTTTATAAAAAAAAACGTTTTTTTACATCTCTAATCACAACTAATGCACAATTTAATGCACAGGCACTTGCCTACCGTCTTTTTGCCAAAACGTCACTTCCACTTTAGCACAGTTCCTGCACACTGTACCCTTCAAGAAAGAATACGTAATTATTTTATTCATATCAATTTAAAGAGCTTATTATGTAGTTGCAATTGAAAATAGTATTTTCTTTATGATAAGAAAATGTAAGTACATGCTTAGTTGATTTTAAAAATATTCAAGACATTTATTATGAAAAAATAACGTTTTTTAAATACATTTTTTAATTTAAAACTTTATTTCTTCGGAAAAAGTTTTAAATTACACAATAAATAAGCGGTACTACAATTTCTTTAATATTTATTAAAAATCAAATGATGATTTACAATGTTTGACTTATGAAAATAAAATCTTCGTTTTTAACTGGTGAAGGACGCTAAAGAAATGATAGCACTGGAATCTGTAGTCAATGTCCGATGTTATGAACTCACAGCTTTGTACTTTTGTTCATTGTTTGTATCAAAGGGTTGTGGAAATCGAAGAGTAAAACCATGCCAATCACTTTGCTATGGTAATAATATTAAAAAAAAATAATTTTAATCTGAAGTATTAACCAAATATTGTCAATACTATGTTAGAAACAATTCGTAGCTGTGGATTTTTTTTTGACATATTTGAAGCTTATTATGAACACCGACAATGTTCACAATTTCCAAACGACATAGACAACCCACACGTCTTTTGTGTTGGTCATAAAGAAGTAGCAAATGTAAAAAAAATGAAATCATTAGGGCGTAAGTGTTTTTAAAGTATATTTTTACGCTTAACTTCAAAAAAAATCCTTTACGTTTTGATTGAATTAACATTTATTTATGTATCAAGTTTTTAACAATAAATTTAATTAAAAGCCTTACAAAAATTTATTTTTTAGATTGTCGAGAAGGCTTTAAATGTGATAAAAAACGGTGTATTCCTTCAGATTGGAGATGTGATGGTCATTTTGATTGTGAAGATCATACTGACGAAATGAAATGTTCACAATGCCCTGGTAAGTATTTTTACAATTTATTTTAAAAGTACTTTGATTAGAATTTTAAAAAAATCGAATTTGAACTTTTTAAAAAATTATGTACAAAAATGTTTAGTAAAACTTGGTAAATGCTCCGATTTAAATAATTATAATTAAATTCTTTAATCATTTCTTAATTATATATAAAATCAAAGATGGAAAGTTAATGGAAATAATTAACTCAAGTTAGGTTAAGTTAAGTATGATCAATGTCGATAAATTAACAGTTAAAAGTTAACAAATTATAAATTTAATTAGCTAAGTTAAAATTTTATTTTAATCTAACTAGTTTGAAAAAAGTTTATTTCATTTAAAATTAATTTTCTGGCTAAAATCTCTTAAAATAATTTTTTATTGGATGGTAATATTAGAGAATGTTAACAATCGATTTTCAATTTTTAAAGTTGAATCTTCCTCTTCTTTTTCCTCGCCGTAATCTAAACTACTGGGGTTGGGCCACCCTTATCCTAAATTTCCACTTAACACGATCTCTTACATTATCTACGTTTACATCAGTCGTCCTCATATCAAATTCAATAATATCCTTCTTTCTCATTTTTAATCTTCCTCTACATCTTCTTCCTTCAACATTCATTTATATAACTGTCTTACAGTTTCCGATTCCACTCTCCACATAACATGACCAAACCATCTAAGTCTATTTTTTCTTATTTTATCCACGATTGACGCTACACCTTTACTCCCTTTTATATGTTTGTTCCTTATCCTATCTTCTCTAGTCACTCCACTCATTCATTTAAGCATTCTCATCTCTGCTACATTTATTATCTGCTCTACTTTCTTGTCAACCACCCAACTCTATGAACCATACATAATTTCTGGTCTCACTACAGTCTTATAGAACTTAACTTGCAACCTTATTAGAATTCTCTTATCGCGTAACACACCAGACTCTTCTCTTTACTCTAACCACCCGCACTTAATCCTATGTCTTACATCCCCGTCAATACCAACGCTCTTTTGCATAACTGATCCTTAATACTTAAATATCATTATATCATTATAAAAAATAAGTAAGGGCTTAAAGAAGAATCTTGGTGCACTCTTACCCTAAAACCTTTTGTTATTCCTCCTACACTTTTTACCCTAGTAAAAGTGCCATCATACATATCCTCTATTATATTAATGTACCTTTTAATGCTCAATTTATCATGCAACTCATCATACCTTTTAAACTTAGAAAAAATATTAATAATAACAAAACAATTTTTTATTTGTTTTGTACATTTTTGTGTTTGTTGCACTATTTTATCTTTAAAACTAGTTATTAAACAAAATCAGTTAAAAATCATATACACTTTTGAAAAAATCTAGAAAGTTATAATTATTATTATATAAATATAACATTTGGAGGAGAAATTTCCCTATTTTTTTTAATTAAACCATGTATAAAGCGTATAAAGACATACATTTTTTTATGAAATATTGACTTTAGTTTAACTATTAATTTAATAATCAACTGAAAAAAGCTAAATTATTTCAATGGAAAATTAAATTAGTTAAGTTGAAAAGTTTATTAGAAAAATAATTAACTAGTTAAGTTGAAAAGTTTAAAAAAAATTTACTATTTAACTTAACCTTAATTTTAAACTAGTTAATACCCACTATTGTATAAAAGTACAATAAAAAAACTCTAAGACTTAACTAATTAAGTCACTCATTACATATTTTATTATAATAATAATAAATAAAAGCCATCAATTAATAAATTTAATTTTTTTAATAATACATATTAATAAAAAAAAATGTTCATCATACTTATAGAAATAATATGTATACATTAAATAAGTTTTACAAACTCTACCTAATTACAATTTTGAACAGTTTAAAGTATCTTCTACTCTATCAAGGGTACTGTTAACAATAAGATTATAAAGAGCTTAGTATACTTCTTATTAGTTTTTAAGTAGACAATATCAATTCTACTTGGAAAAATGATCGAGTTTTACTGCCCACACTCATATTTATTTCGACAGTAATCCATTACATCATGTCAATATACAAAATCAACAAAATTTTCTTGCCCACTTTAAAAAGTAAACAAAAATTCAATTTCCTTTATAAAAATGTGTAAGATAATTTTCATAGGAATGATTTTCACGTTCCTAAAAAAAAATTTTCCAAGCAAAATACATAACGTGTAAGTATAAGATTTACATTTTCAAAAAAAATAACTTAAAAAAAATTGCATTCTTATAATAAAATCTTACTATTTTATTTAAAGAAGTAAATGTTACCATCGTCAAAAAAATCACAGACATATATCTCTATGTATTCTCATTTACATTTAAAACTAATTTTACTTCTTTGTTTTTACACTAACCTATTTTAATTGTTATCTTATAAATAAATCTCTCATTAATAATACTTAAATACAATAATAATATTTAAAAATCCAGTGGTAAATTTTTTTCTTTTAACTGTTTTTTAAAATATTAATTATACTTAAATATTACTAAGGATACAGTAATAAAATAAGAAAAATAGTAGTACATATGTATAAATAGATAACTAATTATATTTAGACAATTTTGAAGGAAATAGGGACAAGTCAATTTTTGACATTTTTATATCACTTTTAAATATTGTTAGTAAATAAATGTTTGATTTATTAATATTACTAATGTTGGCATAAACAGTTTTACATTTAATATACAATTTCTTGAATGTGATAAAGTAATATAAAGAAAAAGATAAAAAAAATGTAATTATGTACCGCCTAAAAACTAGCAAATTAACTATTTTTCTTTTTCACACAAAAAAAGTTCATTTATTTGTTTATTCATTTTATTGAGTAAATAAATAAATTAACTAATCTATAATTATTTTATAGTCGAACTTTAAATAAAAATCCACGACTGCCACAAGTCTTCCTCACTAGGTCGATGATCAATCACTCAACCCATAAACCATACTAATTATTTTACTTTTATTAAAAAAATGTATTTTTAAAAGGTTAAGTCGAAATTTATTTTTTTTTTTTTATATAAACATCTTTGCAATAATAATGTTTTATAAGATTTATAAGGTTTAATGATAATTATTTATTAAATAAATATCATCAATGAAACTACGACTAATTATAGAAATGTTACTTTAATAGGAATAGATATACGTGTCACCTACAAACAATTTAAAATAACATAAATTTCTTCCAACTTCCTATAATTAAGGAGAGATATGAATTTAATGACTATAAAAAAAATAGCATTTCAACAAATTCATTCAGTTTCTAAGTTTATTAAAAACTTATTTTCAATTATTTACAAAACTACTGCTTCAATTTTAATTAATGTAATAGGCTGATTTTAAAGTTCTTGAACAAAGCTAGACATACAAGTATCAAAACAAAAGTATCTAATGATAAAAATTTTGACATAGTAAAAAATTTTTCAAAAATCAAAACAATCACTTTTGAGCAATAATTTTTATTCTTTCATTTAACGTTAGTTAATTTGTGTCTAATTTTAAATATAATGTAATTAGTAAGAATCAAACATCGATTATTGAATATCGATATAATTTCAATATTTACAGTTTTATGTTAAAGTTATGAGACCAAAATCGATTTTATCAAAATAAATTTTTTAACTCTATATTCTACTAATTTTTACGCAAATTTATTAAAAATTTACAAGAATACATTTATATATATATATATACTTAAAATTTCATTATTTTCTTGATATAATTTTTTGTTATACATAAAAATTTTTAAGCTTGGTTGGGCTTGGTCATAGTACTATACTATTTATGATATTTTACTATAAATTTCTTAAGTTGTACTTTTAAAAGTTAAATTAAATTAGTTCAACTTATCTGTGTCATTTTTTAACGCAATTACTGTATATTCAAAAATATCTTTACATTTGGCTTCTAACATACTATTCAAATAGGCTTCAAGAATCGTCAAATACGTTAATTGGTTACATAATTACTATTTTTAAATATTGTGTAATAATATTTAGATCTTAAAGGGCTTTTTAGAATTTGTATGTACACTTGAACATAACATTAATAATATTGTTTATATCGTATAATTAAATTAGTAGTATTATATGCTTATAAGCCAATTAATTTGTACATTTATTTTCATTTAAAACAGTAAAATAAAGTTTAATTAATTATTAATTATCCTTTGTCTTAGAATAATAAACTAATATATTTTTATATATTTACAATAAAATCGCAGAATTTTAATATGCAATGCCAAGGACATAATTAAAAAATTCTTTGCTTTCACTAAATCAATTTCGTTGATTTATGCGTCAATAGAATCCAATTTTAATCTAGTTGAACTTATTAGTGCTGACAATTTGAAAAAAAAATTCTCCAATATTAGAAATATCTTAAACTATCAAAATAAATGTTATTTTCAAATTTTTTTTCACTGTATTTTAAAAATACTGATTTTAATGATTTTAATGATTTTTTAATAGATTTTACAAGAGACATTGAACAAAAACATTAATAGATCTTTCTTATAGTATGTTTTTTATGAAAATCTAATGTAAAATCTAAGTACAGGAAGGGTTTGAAACAGACCACCCACGTATGTAAATATATTTTTCAATTCAATTTAAAAATGTTCGGCATCGTCTGCTCTTTTTTAACCTATATTAAGTTAAAGATTTTGAAGTATACTAGAGTATAAAAAAAATTGTTGTCCCAAAATTATTCTTATATGAGAAGTTGACGGTTAAAATAAAAAAATTCAATTATTTAAAAAAAAAAATAACAAAAATTTTAATATCAATTAAACAAATATTCTAATAAGCATTTAATATTTGAGTGTAATTTTTAAACATAGAAATTGGAAAATCACAAATATACAAACTAATGTGCACTTTAACTAATTCAAATTAAAACGTTTTTTACTATAGTGATATTAATCACTGTTAAATATCATCTACACTTGTCTCAACTATGCCACTTCCAGAGTTTTTAAGAAACATATTTTTAAAAAAACCTGTTTAAATCATAAGTAAACAGTTTAAAACGTCCATAAGATCAATGTAAATTTGAATATTTTTGTGTTTTAAACACGTTTAAAACGTAACAATCCTGGCCGCATACCTCCGTGGTGTTTTTTCAATTGACATTCTTCCATAAAAACTATAAAAATTAATACTGAACTGGAAAATTGATAAAATTGTAGTCACTTTTTACTGATTTCGAGCGAAAAATAATTCGTTCTCGGCATAGCATGGTTGGGATGGGTTTGTGCCTCTCATCTAATATAAAACCCACCCAAACTTTACAAGTAATATTAATTTTTTTATTTTAATTTTTTAAATAAAATTGTATTATTACGTTTAAAATCACTTATAATATTTTTATATTAGCTAATAATGATGAATATACGATATCAAAACAATTTCCACACTTGTAATACAAAGATTCCATTTATCATACTACACTATTACTTATATGAATTTGAATTGAACCAAACAAATTTAGTCATGCAGGATTTTGTGATTTTAAGATCAAAAACCAGATCACATTACATTTACAAAATATGTTTAGTAAATGTCGTAATAATAGTACTTTTCAATGAAGTACTACTTAAAATAAAAAAATGACAAAAATGTTGTGCCGTGACCAGGATTCGAACCTGGGTTATTGCGGCCACAACGCAATGTCCTAACCACTAGACGATCACGGCTGTTGAGAATCTCGATAAAAATTTATTATTTTATACAGTAGAAAAAAATAATTGATTCATCTTCCGTAAACATAAAAGTACATGATTATTTTTAAATATGGAAAATTCAACTTAATGGGAATTATTATTATTATTTATGTAAAATTTAAACAGAAAATTACATCTTTTTATATTAATAAACTAATCGTATTAATTTAACATTTTCTCTTAACTTTACTTAGAATTTTCATGTGTAGGACGAATGGTTTATTAATCACAGACCTAATTGGTATAACCATTAGGAATAATGAATATTTTATAAAAGTAGAGATTTAAATGTGGGAGGACATAAGGGCACTCAGCCTCCCACCACTCACTATAATTATTATGGATTCCCTTTAAAATTTAATCGAAATGTAAATTATATGGATAAAAGAAAGGTTCAAAATAGCACATGGGTAATTGCCAATTTTACGTTATTATTATTAACTTTACTGAAGTATTGATCAGATTTTAAAAACAATATATTTCATTTTAGATATATTGACCGTAAGTGTTTGAAATGAACGTCGTTAATACGTTCACATACATATTTGGCGAACCACATTCATTTTTTCAATTAGAACAAATAAAGATATTTACATAATTAAGGCGTCTGGGTACCGACCGCTTTTTAGTAAAAAACAACCTGTTTTTGTTCCATCAGTACGACGAAACTACTGATGCGATAAGAATTCTGAAAACGTATCTGAATTCAACATCATGTCATTTAGCTATCGGTCAGGCCATATTTTTGAAATTTTGATGTTACAGTTATTACAGTTTTCATTTTCCAATAATTTTAATAATATAATCGCTTCATAAAACTTAGTAACAAATTATACGCGTTATATGATAAGGTACTTTATTGGCTAAAGGCACTGTTATCATACATTTTCGAATGTTGATTTAATTATTGGGACTTCTAAAACTATGAAGACACATAAAACAATACGCAGAGCATTAGTACATTGATTAACTTGCTCCTATTTGTTAAAAATTGCTTAGTATTTCATGAGCGATGAAATCGCTTTGTATATTTATATTTATTTTCTTTAATTTATTATTGATTCAAATAAAAAACGTGCGCATTATACTACTGACCATAGAAATTAATATGACAATAATTTGAAAAATATTTAATGTATAATAAATACACTATTATGTGTATGTATATTAATACATATTTATAATATTACAAAATATTTCATTCTAAGGTATGCAAGGGAGCAATTAAGAATTAGTTAGGCGTATAGATCTACCCAGAGCAAAAATATCTATATGAGGATATAATTTTTTTTTTTTTTTTTTTTTTTAAAGGTAGTGAAATTTTTTTTTTATATATGCCCCCTCTGTAACAAACCACAATTACGCCACTTTGATATGACTTTTATATCTTTTTTGTGAATATATAAATTTGTCTGAATTAAATCGTTTAAACTAATCGTTTTTATTTATGTTTAGACTATAAGTAAACTATTCATGAATAAAAAAATTTAATGATCACCACAATAAACGAGTTCCATTTTTACACATTGAATGTAAACGTGAACAAATTCTATTTTATAGTGAACGTTCCAATCACTGCTGATTCTGTTTCCACAAAATATATTACAATTTTTGTGAATATTGCACTATGTTTATTAATAAATAAAAATGTATTTTTACGATAGATCAATTGTTTTGTGGCGCTGGAAAATGCATCGCTACTGAACATATTTGTAATGGCGTGTCAGATTGCGAATGGGGCCAAGACGAACGGAATTGTGGTAAGAAAAATAATGAACTATAAAAATGTATGATATAGTTATGTTATTTGGAAGACTTTAATATGTATTCAATTACAGTCCGATTGAATGGTCAAATGGGTGAGAGGGGAGAAGGAACTTTGGAACTGTACACTCCAAACACCACCTCATGGCGACCAGCATGTATACAGAGTTGGGATCCTACGTTGTCACCCGTTATAATATGTAATATATTGGGATACAAGTAAGTATGCAGATCAATCAATAATACACTTAATTATAGATTTTAATGACATAGTATTTCCATATAATTCATTTATTTATATTATCTGATATTTTATATAAATATTAAAGTTGTTAATTCAATAATAACTAGAAAATATAATATATATACTGTGTAATATTTAACCTAAAAAAAAGGAAATAATATTTTTTCGAATATCATGAAAAATGAAAATATATCAGTAATTAGTTTATGTATTATACAAAAATTGTACAATTTTTAGCTTTTTAAATACTTTAACTTATATTTATTAATATAAATTCATTATTAGATATTCAACTTATTTTGTAAATACTTCTATTTTTCGTCGCATTAGCTGGTTTTTGCACAACGGAAAGTTTTCAGTAGAAAGTCATCGACATATATGTTATATTCTTTACGTGTATTTTGCGTAAAAATTTTGAAAAAATAAACACAAAATTCTGTAAAAGTTCTATTGTAAACGTTAAATCATTAAGATTTCTACCAATAACTTAAGTAGTTGCAATTAAAATATATACTGCATCGCTTTCATTAATTTTTACGTCGATTTTACATATTTGCCTTTTCTTTAATGGTTTCAATTTCATTTATGTTCCTAGCTCTTCTAACTCATTTTTGATAGTACTCGAATTCATGTCTAAGAATATTTCATGGTTAAAAAATAAATTTAAAATGGTAACAATTTTTAATTGTTTTAATGGTTAGTAAAATTATTTTTTTATATTTGACTTTTCAGCCATTTCGAATTTTTCATAAACTTTTTTTTCGATATTTGTTTTTAAATATATATCAGCTTTTTTTCTCTTTATTGTAAAAAAATAGTATAATTACAGGGTGTCTTACAGAGAAAACTAAAAAATTTCTATCTTCTAAATTTATTATTAATTTTATACGTTGACTTATGTTCTATAAAAATATCTTCCAACTTTAAGGTTTTTTTATTTGAGTGAATGTTATTTTCATAGATCTATCTATTCATCATACAAATTTTGGATTTTTTATTATAACATTTTTCAGTACTAATTGGAAGACGATTTTTTTATCAGAAAATAACTACTTCCTATAATAACAAGTTTAAACTTTTGTTAAAATTTAATTTGACACAGCACATATAAAAAAAAAGATGATACTTGATGATGTAACGCATTAATGTACATTTTATAATAGATTCGCCTTATTTAAAGAATACCTTACTGTACACAGACAATAAGGCCTCTACAAAAAAGGGTGATTGTAAATTAAAAATTAAATTGTTTTCATATTGTTCATATGTAAATTCCCCTAAAAAGTAAACTGTCACGTTATTACCTGTATGGATCCAATTACTATCTAATGAATATAAGATTAAGGAATCTAAAATGATTGGCTTCATTATTCTTATGATATAGTTTATTGAAATCCTAAAGATGTAGAAAGCTATGTAAAATATGATTTTTACAATATTAAACCAATTGAAAATCCCTTAGACTTGTTTTATTCATATTTATTAAATAGTTATGCCCTAAATCAAGCTAAATTTCCACTATAAGATTGGGTTGAAGTTCATCAAATTTGACAAAAACAACAAATTCGTGGGAGTCATTTCATTCGCACAAATTTATTGCTAAGTTTGAATTTATTAAAGGAGTCTCTCATTATTATGTTATTAAAATTTTATTATTTTTAACTTCATAAATTTGATGTAATGTATGTGTTTAATGATTTAGTTTGATACTAATTAGATTACTATTGACATAAAATAATTATTTCTACTTTTTTATGGTCTCATACGTTTTCTTATCATTTGAATCCGCAGGTATTTGACTGGTTTTGTAATAAATTGAGTATTACCAAATACTCTGTGTATTTTAAAAAGCATATTTTAATTTTAAAAAAATTCTATTTAAATTAAAAAATTATTTTTTAGGGAAATTTACATATGCATAATAAAGAAGCAAAATAATTTTTTGTGGGAGTTGACAAAAAATATTATCAGATTTCATAAAATGTTTTTATTAAAAATCTGTTACACATGTTTGTTTTTACACTATACTTCAAAATTTTTAGAACTGCATCCAAAAGCGAACTTGGAAAAAACAATAAATTACTAGCAATGGTAAAATACAATCAATCTTTAGAATATTATGAAGAAAATAAAGTGACTGTGTACAGAGAAATACGCGACTGTCCTGACTCATTTTTTTACCCATCCATAAGTCTATCATGTTCAAATTTCGGTAAGTTTTTAAAACAATTTTTAATTAGCTACAATAAAATTATAAAAATCAATTCCTAAAACTCTAAGAATGTGGAGTTAGGAGACGACCTCAAACCATATTTCGACAAACAAGAATTGTAGGTGGAAGACCATCACTTCCTGGTGATTGGCCATTTCTTGCAGCAATACTAGGAGGACCTGATGAGATATTTTATTGTGCAGGAGTACTCATATCGGAGCAATGGGTTTTAACTGCAGCTCATTGTACAGGGAGGTACCTAGTTATAATAATTTAATTAGTATTTCATTTATAAACTAATGATTATAATGTTACTATTAGTCGAAGTATTTCAATATCAGATGATCTCAATGAATGGACGATCCAATTAGGTATGACAAGGAGACATGCACATTCTTTTTTCGGTCGAAAAGTAAAAGTAGAAAAGATAATCAGACATGAAATGTACAATATAGGACCAGTTCAACATGACAACGACATTGCAATTTTTAAGGTATTTTCACAAGTACTAAAGATAAAATTTAAAAAAATTAACGTTAAAAAAGATATAAGGTGATCCTTAAATATTCTTCACGAAAAATCTTCGAAATTATTAGAGCTAATCTTTTTATTTTTTTAACAATTATGGTTCTTTGTTGAGCTACTTTACACCAAATATTAATGTTCTGCTACAATTCCTTATACCCTAAACAATCTATTTTCAATTGACAACCTTAATTTTTTTTACTATATCAGATTTATTTTAATACAACATTTAATTTATTTTATATTATTTGTTTGTCAACGTGTTACAAGTACGCAGAAAAAACGTACTTATTTTTAAAAGACAGTATCTCTTTTGGGTAGTACATCGATAAGTTCTACTGATTCATAACATGATATAATGTACACTTTGACGTATTTTTATGAATAATTAGCATTTTTTCATAAATGACATAATAATGTTGCTATCTTTTAAATAAGAGTACATTTTTTTTCTAAATTCCCCTACTTAAACATATATAACTTTATTGAAAAAAAAAGAATTTAAAAAAAGAATTGTTTATTTTTTTTTTTATTTTATTAAATTTGATGATTATTATTACAAAATCGAATGTTAATATTAATTAAGGTACAAAAGATGGTAGCAGAACTTATATTTTTCATAAAAAGTATCTCAACAAAAACCATTATTGTTTAAAAAAAAATAATGATTAGTTCCAATATTTCGAAAATATTTTATGAGTGTAGTTAAAGAATCGCTCTATATTTCTTTAGGTTAATATATTAACCTTATAATAAAGTTTTATAATAATCTGGATATAATATAAGCTACATTAAAAAACCAATTATTTTATACAAATCATAATCCATCATCACGTGATAAAAAGTTTATTTACATTTGTGGGATTATTTGATATGTATAAATGATGTGTAAGGAGAGAATTTTTATGTTTTTACACATTTTAATTGTCTTTATACAGCTCAATAATAGTAAAAATTTAGATGATTGGCCTATTTTTCATATTTTAGAATGAAATTAGTTACTATCTAAAAAATACATATTTTCTTGAATTTCTGCTGCAAAAAAAAAAATTTATAAGTAAAATTATAAAATGGTTTATTAACATAATATTTAGACCATATCAATTAAAAAACACTTATTTGTCAGAAAAGTGTAAAATATGAATATAAAAAAAAAGATAATTTATAGTTATTCATAAAAATATGTAAATATATGTATAATTGAATAATTCGCTCTTTAAACTCTATTTAAAAAAAATTATTACTTCTAGCTTTTGAGCATATTATACTAATTTTATTATTTATTTAGACATATTTTATTTTAACCAGTGAAAAAATAACTTTTTTTTCACTTATTAGTGTTTATATAAAATGCCTAACATTATAGATAAATTTTTGGAGTAAATACCCCTTAGCCCAATTATAATGGTAGCATCCTATAAAAATGTATTAATAAGAGTAAGGTTTTGTAAATATTTTTTAGGAAAATTTTTGTATATATCAATGCCATCCCATAAACATAAGTTTATGGGAAGAAGTCCTTCCAATAATAAAACATTTTCTTACAAATGTGTTTAAAATCACCATGACTATGATTAATGACGACACCATGCAATTTATCAATTTTGTTTATATTAATTTTAATTTATTTAAACTTTAAACTTTCTAGTTGAGTGAAAAACTAACATTTCACGAATTCTTACTGCCTGTTTGTTTGCCGCCTCCAAATATGGTTTTAAAACCTAATATAACTTGCACAGTTATAGGATGGGGAAGAAGGAACGGCCTTGAAGGTATTAACTAGTTATTAAAAAAAATCAATATTAATTAAATTTCTTAAAAATTTGAGTTATAGCATATTTAATGTCCAATGATGTCAAATATGTGTTCACTAAATATTTAATTTGTTTAATTAAATTTAGTTTGAGTTTTGCGCTTGATTATTTTACTTAATATGAAAAACTGTAGGAGCTGATTATGAACCAACAGTCAATGAAGTACAAGTGCCTGTATTAGATAGGGATTTATGTAACACATGGTTAAGGCAAAAGGATGTTAACATAACTGAAAATATGGTGTGTGCAGGTTATGAACAAGGTGGAAAAGATGCATGTCAGGTAAAACAACAAGCTAAAATGTTATGTTGAAAACTAAGCTATAATATTTATATTTTAAAACTTTAACAGGGTGACTCTGGAGGTCCTTTGCTTTGTCAAATGGAAGGATTCAAAGATCGATGGTTTGTAGGTGGTATTGTTAGCTGGGGTGTTGAATGTGCAACACCAAGTCTTCCAGGCGTATATGTCAACGTACCTAAGTATACAGAATGGATAACGAAACAAATTGAAAACGAAGCACTAATGGAGGATGGAGATTATTGGAGGAAATAATATAATTAGCTAATAAATTATCGATTATACCAGAAACCTTGTCTATCAAATTGAAAACTATGCAATGAATATTTGCATAATCTGATTAATTCGATATCATTTTATTGATTGGAGCCGCATAAATGCAAAACTTAAAAGAACATTAATGATATTTACAAACAAAAGAGCTATCAGTTAATTGATTCATGATTCAATTATTATTACTTAATTTACAAACCTTTTGGGTTCAAATCATTTTTGAGAGACCTACAATAATTCATTTTGGTCGTACGGAGATTACACAATTTTAGGGGGTTGTTTTAAGACATAAATCTAGTATCTAGTATAACAGATCTAAAAAATATTAACAATTTCCCAAATCTTGGGATAAGTGCTAAAATAGATATACAATCAAAGTCCATCCGTCCATTTTGATGAAAATTTTAACTCGTAAAAAAAATTTATTATCTCAATGGTTTGATTTTAAGCTTATAATATTTTCTATTTTAAGTTGAACAATTGCAAAAGATATATTCAGTTTTAATTTAAATATTACCATTAAACAATTAAAGACTTACATAATTTTAATTCTATTAAGATTGAAAAATGGTATGTATAGATAAAATAATAGATTTTCTTAGTACAATTTTACTAGATTCATTAAATCAAATAGGTATAAACTCATCAGTATTTTCGATAAATTCTTAATTTTGCTCATTGTTTAAATAATTGTACTAATTTTAAAGAGTTAATGTGTTCCCATACATAAAATTGCAAAGTTTTAATTGAAGCGTCAAACAATCTTATGTGAAGCAGAAACCCGATCCTTACGAACAATTTTATTTAACTTAAATTTTCCATAATGGGATCGCTTGATATTCTCGGAAACGATGGTGTTTTATAGACAATAAAAAATTGCTTTAAAGACAATATAGTGAGATTTTTTTACTAAGGTTTCTAATAAAATTAAAAATAAATGAAGTAGAATTTTAAAGTCATTATAGTAGTTATATATATTAACTAGTAATTAAAAACTTAATTGATAAGCTAAAATTATGAAAAAGTATTTTTATATAAGACACGTTATGTGTTAAAACTAAATCTTTGAACGTTGTGCTTTTTAATACAATTTGTAATATGTACTATTGTTAAGAAAATTTGTTTCAGAATAATGGTTAATTTTATTTTATTGACTGCTATAATGGTCGCTCATTATAGTAGATTTTACTTTCTAACAAAAGTTAAACATCAAAAAGTGTATCCAAAAAACTATAAAATTTTATACTTTATCATTGAAAATCATTTTCTTACAAACTATTTTTGCAAAAGAGAGGATATGCGTCCTAAAAACATTTAGACAATAAAACTAAGATTGCTCGAATTAAATTAATTGTTATGAGCTTTTCTATAATATTTTTATTATTTATGTGACTAGTAAATTAACTTTATTTTTTATTTTTTCTTGCCTATATTACATTTAAAAAAATACTCAAATAAGAATATAATATCGTAAATTTCCAAATTAAATGTAATGATGTACTTACAGGTTGTGATGAGCCGATTATAGATATAATAGTTATTACTTGTGTTTTGAAAATTTAGATAGTATATATTTGTAGGTAATTTTTAACATGAGAAACCATTATCTTTTATTGTGTTTAAATGTTAAGTATAAAAGTAACTATATTTTAGTATACAATTGAGACAACTCTAAATTTAGCTCAAGCTTCAAATGTGATTAGTTAAAAAAATAGACAGTTTATTATATAATAAACACATACAATTGTAGCTAACATTGTGAAACAATTGTAAAGAATTACACATAAGATATGTTTAAAGTGTGGATTGTGAATAGAATTGAAAATAGATTATATAAACCGTTTTTAATAGGTCATTTATACAAAGTATAAAAGTTAAAAAAAAATCATTTTGTGCTATTTAATCTAAAAAATTTTATTTTAAGAAATTGTTCTTTCGTATGGAAAAGTTTGGAATAATTTAATATAATTTAAAGTATGAAAACAAAAACTATAAATTATGCAAACAACTATTATAGGTATATTAATCAAGAATAAATTCATTAAAGTGAGTTGGAAATTACAGTATTAACCGACTTCTTATTTTTCTTTAAATTATGTTATTTAAAGTTAATACTTTTTTTTAATTTTGTCAACCTCGTTAAATATAGAAAAAACAACATATAAACATATAAAATAAAAAACAATATTTACTCCGATTTAGTATTTATAGTAATATTATTGGTATAAAATTTAACAATCATAAAACATTTAAGTGAAAATATAACTAGTAAAATAAATTCCATAAATTTATATATTTCTACACAGAACAATTTAAATTTTTGTAAAAATAGGTAAAACTATAAAAATAAAATATTATAGAAAATTTTTTAATTTAAACTTGATTAAAATAAAACATTACTGTAATATATTCCAAATATATTAGTAAAATATAACATTTCAATAATTTATAAACATATCTGATAAAACAAAATATGAGATCAAATATAACATTTTTTAATTGAGAGAGTTTTTTAGATAAATTTGACGAATAAACTTCCCATAAAAGTTTAACTTAAAGGGTAGCGTGGAATTAAGAGCTAGAAATATATTTTTGGCCCTATTTTATCTAGGCTACAATAATTATGTATATAATTTCACTGTTAAAATATTTTATTTCATTTTTAACTATCCTAAATTCTATCTTTATGAAAAATAGGTAAATTATTGTTATACATTATTTAACAATTTTGGAAATTGAAAATATATGATTTCAACTTACAAATACTTAAAAGGTAGTATTCATAATAATTATTTCAACTAAATTAATTTGGTTGTTAATTATTTTTTATTATATTATAAGTAATTAACTTTATTTAACCATTTGTTTTGAATGCCTTATTCTTATTTGAACAACAACAAAAATGTTTTTCCAAAATATTATGTTTGTACTTAAGTTTTGTTTTGTTAAACTATGTATATTTTTAACAACTGATTTAACTAATGTAAATGTAATTGATAAGTGCAGAAAATGAAAGTCATAGTTACCATGAACAATGATGCCTTATATTATGAATCATTGAAAATATTATTGTATGAAAAAGATTATTATAAAATTAGATTAAGATTCATCTATATTTTACAAAACAAAAAAAAGGAAAATGTTACCAATGTTTAATGATTTAAAGTTATAATACTAAATGTTCATATTTTAATGACCTATTAACAAGCTGTATTTAGTACACAATGAACCAATATATAGAAAATTTAGGATACTATAATATAACAATAAATTTATTTTAGATGTAATGTGATTTATACGAAATATATATTTGTTTACATTAGATTGTATTATACAATATTTATTAAATAAAAAAAGTGCAACATATAACATGTTATTAATATTTTCCAGATCTATAATTATAATTTTTTTATTTAAAAACTACATACTTAACTGAGTAATATTTATATTAAAATATATTTTGTATTAAAAATGTAATTTGTACAAATTTTAATAATATTATAAAAGTAAGATAAAATTCTAGTGCATATTCTTTCGGGGAAGTAATCTTGTTATAATTTATAATTTCTATTTAGAATAATTAAATGGGTCTCCTTTAATACATATAATTTAATTTACAAAATACACCATTAATGAATTAATTCTATAAAAACAGAAAATTAACTTGAAAATTGATAATTATAAAAGAAATGTTAAAATAATTATCTCCATCTAGTGGTATAACTTGATAATGTATATCATTTCGATATGCACAACGAATAAGTCACTTTTTCCTACTTTTCAGAAGAACAAAAACAAAATGTATTCTCTGATTATACGTTATATATTTATCAATTTTCTATATAGTTTAATTCCGATTCAAATCAAATTTTAGATATTTTAATGAAAGTTATTAAAAATAAATCCTAAAACCAAATACCTCATATTCTCAAAGTTAAATTGTTTGAGTTTCTGCCTTATTCGTTGCACATAGCGATTTGTATTTGCATTTATATTAAAATATAATTTGAATAAAATTGCATTCAAAGACATATTTAGACAGATATTAAGATGATAAGAGATGTATTATCTTAATACATATAAAGATAAATTTTTTTTTTAATTTTTTTTTTGTGATATCAGTCAATTTATTGCTTTGTATAAAGAAGATATTTTTATCTTCACTTTAAATAAATTTCGATGTAATTATTACTGTTTTTAACGAGTATTTTTAAAAATATTATCAATTATAATAAGCGGGAGAAGTAGAGCGATTCATAAATACCTAGAAATAAAAATAAAGAGACTGCATTAATCCTATTCCCGTCTTAATACAAGTTGATTATATTTAAAAAAAAAAAGGAGGACTGATATGACCATTTTTTTTTGAAAATTATAGAATATGAATTAATTTTTGAAAATAAAATTTATAATTTTAAAAATATTGCCAGTTATATTTAAATTATCCTGTATATTAAATTTTTACCATGTTAAATAAGGGCGCCGATGACAGTTAACACGACACAAAGAATAATCATAAGATGCAATTTTTAATATATATATTGTCGAGGAAATTTTTTTAAGTAGAAGAAAATAATAATAGAATTGTTTTTCTTCTTTAATTAGGGAGTAAAAATTCTTTTATTTGTTGAATTTATTAAATATATTTTTAATTCAATTGAATTTTTATGACAGTAAGAAAAACTTTAAAGTTATTTCAGTGGAGTATAGTGTTCTTTTTAATTTTATGTTGCCATTACTAAATACATAAAACAAATAATCTAGAAAATACATATCTCAATGAAGTATTAATCCATTTTAATAGATTAATACTATTTGTAATCCAACCCAACTCATTGCAATGAGTTAATAAAGATATCAAAAAATAAATAAAACAATTGTTTTATATTTCAAAAATTTATTGGAATTAAGTTTTGTTTTGAAAGGCAAGACTAACATAACAGCTTTTAGATGGTTCTGAAAAGCATTGCACTCCTGTATAATTTCTAAAACATAATATTTGACTTGACAGTTTCTGAATCGTATTATTCAAAACTTTTAATGGACAAAACTTGTAAAAAATTGATGAGTGGTTTGTCCTATTTCAGTTTTCTATCAAATCTTATAAAGATAAGTGAACATAGAACTACCTGGAGTAGTAAAAAGGCGTACATAGTATATTAAATGGAAGATATGATAGCTATCAGTTCAAGTAACTAACCACTCTCGGAAATGTCAGGAGTTCTGCAGGGAAATAGTCCATTACATCAAACGAGTAATTGATAGTGACTAATAGTATACAAACAAAATAGGCATATAAACTTTATTATATTTGACATATTCCAACTGTGTATAAAATACAGGGCAATTCTGTTATTACACTTCACGAAATAGGAGTGGTCAGAAAGTAAGGAAAAGGGTTTCCATTATTCTCATTGTTTGTAACAATTTACCTATTTCCTTACTTTTTGAACACTCTGTATATTCAAGACTATTATTTAGTTGATCATTATTTTATTCTTTTAAATAAGAGTTTTTCGTTGAGCTACTTTACACAAAAATAAAATTTTTGATCAAAATAATATAAACACGTTGAGCAACCAATAAAATATTTTTAAAAATCTCAAATTTTCTCAAATTGATATATTAATGTATAGAGTGATCAATAAATAAGAAAACTGGTTTCTCATTTTTTGTAACAATTTTTCTGTCTCCTTACTTCCTGAACACTGTATAATAAAGATAAAAGGGTTGTCGTTAAAATTTCGATGATCGGCTTTTTATCCATCCTACTGTGTATAGTTTAGCCCTCACATATGTAACATTACAAGCAAATATTAATGGTATTTACGCTATCCGCTTTCCACCACAATAATAATAATGAAAACATTTTTTTTGGTCAAAATTAACCATTAATATCTGTAAGCGTAGGTAGTAATTCAGTTTTCGTATATACAGTTTATCATCGAGATGGTTTAAGGTCATTTTCATTGTTTTTGGTGTTCAAAATTTGGTGTTCAAATCATCTAATTGATTCATATTTTTTATAGAGCGTATAAGTCGAGTAGACAACAGGCAATAATATTCCACCCTAGAATACAGGTATTGAAATGATAAGTCAATAACACTAGTTTTTCATTTAAATACCTCATAGTCAGCTTTAAAATTTATTATTTTTACTTGTATTATTCAATATTGAACAAATATTCTTACGGTACACCATTCAAATCAAATTGTATTCTGCCAACAAAAGTGACGTTATTAAGGAAGAAAATTTTATTTAGCTTAGTGAACGTGAATTGATCATCGAACAATTTTGTGAGATAGAACCGTATACCTGGAAAAATGTTTAAATTACGGTTCATTTTAAAGACAAAATGTTTAACAGAAGAAGAAGTATTCATGAAGGAACTTGGTAGTTATATAAACGAGAAGATTCTGATGGTATATCTGAACTTAACTTTGTATACAAACTTTTTATCAATACTTTGGTTTTTATTTTTATTTTTTAGAAGAAAGTTTATTGCCAAATCCTGAACCATCTTGTTTGGACCACATTCTAGATTTTTTTACATATAATAAAACAATTTATCTAAAAAATCAATTTTTAATTGTCTGTTTTTCAACATAAAAATAATTAGTATATAATTTTAGCAACAAATTGTATGTCTGTACATACTCTAGTTTGTAATGACCCGAAGCATATTAATCTAGACTATACACAACAAAATCAATAATAATATTTTTTTCATCTTCCACCATCTTAAATCTTACTTACACAATAATTAGAGTAATATTTGCGATGAATTATTATAACATGATGTGAGAATGCCTATTACACTCCAAATATAGTAGGTGGGCATAAATGACACTCGAAGTATACACCATCGTGACTCTTTTGGCGCTTGTCACGAGAAAACATTTTAAAACGTTTAAAATGACACAAGCTATTAATTTAACTAGATCAATAATTGGCCTTTTACGTGGAAAAGGCACATATTTTCTTAGAAAGGCCGGCATATCATAAAACGAAAATCTTCGTATAATAACCCTTTCCTTTATCAATTAATCATTCTACTCATAATTACTTATTAATTAAACAATTTTTCATGGTATATGTCATTTTTCTTATCAGAAGACAACCGCCGTACCCTCGATTATAGATATAATGTTAAACTCCTTCCATGTTATACCAACTGTACTAGCTACGGGAAGGGAGACACAATCCTTTCAACATGGTTCATACTCCCCGACCCACACACTTCCTACACCACACACCTATGGCAGGGCACCCACATCATGTGAGTTATGAGGAGTATCCAGCTTATATAATATACGCCTACAACTATACTCCAATTTTTAATTAATTGCTTGATTGAATAAAATAATCACACAATCTGACATAAGTGACTTAAAAAGTACCTCAGAAAAAAAAAATGTGTGCATTATATCATTAATAAAGTATGTTCAATAATTTACGAGCATATACGATTGCAAGTGACGGAATATTAAAATAATAATTATAATTTTATAAATAAGATACCATGACCTAATATTCAAAAGATTCAATGTTTTATAATTGTATACAGTATAATTTTCAAAATATGATACACAGTATTTTTACAGAAATTTCTCGATTTTTGGTTTTAAAGCCAGAAATTCAGAGAAAAAATATCGTCGGAAGGGTTTTTTTATTTCATCACTTTTAAAGTACTCTTTAATAACAAAATTTGATGTATATTAAAAGTTATTTAAAAATAACGTTTTTTAAAAATTGACTAGAAAAAACTTTACATGATTGAGAAAGATTCTTTAAACCCTTCTTGTACTTAAGTTTTTGTCGGATTTTCAGAAAAATAATACCAAAAAAAAGCTTATTGTCTCTAGAGTACTCAAAGAAAATTTAATTTAGGTCAGTACTTAAAAAAAATAGTTACATCAATTTTTAAATACACAAAAAACATTTTGAAAATACTATTTTTCACAGTAGCCTGATTTTGAGATATTTTTTTAAATTTTTAAAAATTTCGGCGTTGCTTAATTCAACTCGATTAAAATCAGTTTATTTTAATATATTCATCATTAAAATTGATACTGTGAAAGCTTAGAATTTTCATGAGCAAACTTATAAAAAACATACACACTGTCAAAAAACCAATACCTTCTCAGTTTCGTATCAAAGCTTAAACTATTGAAAGATAAACCATTATAATTTTTGAAAATATAACAGGAAGTTAACGTCTGGCTAATTTAGTATAAGGTTTAGGAATAAGTACAGTTGTGTGATATTTCTTTACAGTTAATTTATACGTCAATGAAAGTAATACGTATTACTTTCAATTTCAACTGAACTTAGACACAAACACCACACAAGTTTAATCCGCAACAAGTGATTTAATGTTTTACCAACTTTAATAAAATAAGGCGTCTTTGGTGATATAAAAGAATACTTACTGACGAAACGAGTACACATTTAATTCAATAGAAAAACGTATTTTCAATTTCCAAAGGCGTCTTGAAAATTGAGCGAATGTTAAATAACTCCATGTTTTTAAAGTATTTACATTAGCATAATTTATTTCTAACCTTTAAGCCTGAAGGACATTATAGCATTGAGAATATGAAATAACAATTCATTTTTAAATTATTAACAACGTTTAAAAAGCATCACTTTGTTAAATGTCTAATTATTTGATTATATACACACATATTTAACGCTCTTCACAATTATTTACAGAAATTATGCAAAACTCTTTTATTTCTAAGTTTTACATTGAATATTTGATGTATTGTTACTACGTCTGTGCAAATATTTGTTACACGATAAATATAAATACGTAGAATTTATATAATAATTCAAGGTGATAAGTTTTGTGTCATACATCTATTTTCTCAGAAATCATTGACAATTTTTAATTTTTGTAAAAACTAAAATATCATATAGTCAAACAGTTTCGTTTTAATCCTTTCAGAGATAATAACCTTAATTTTAATTTTCTTAAATGGGAACCTCAATCTTTATCTTGATAATATGATTAATAATTATATGATATTAAAACTTGATAGACAAAAAACTTACAAACAAATTTATTCTTATAACTTATTTTATGCAATCAATCGTTCATCTGTTTCGGAATATATTATAGTATAATTCAATTTTAATAATTTAAGTTAAATTTTCTAGTGTTATTTGATTGTTAAGAATAACAGAAGTTTTATTTTTTCATTTTATCATATACACTAGTTTTTATTGACCAATGTTTTATACAACATAGAGATATCTTACCTTTTTAATAATTCATATCTATTAATAGTCAATTACTCTTATATTCAATGCATGTGTACTATCGTATAAAATCGGTCACCGGTCTAAAAATCTTTATTCGACAATATGCTATCTCTGATTTAAGAAAACTACATTTATAATCATTTTTCACCATAAATTGAATTTGTAAACAATTGATGATCGAAACAAAGAAAACAATTAAAAAAATTAACTGAAATTTATGACTATCATTTTATTAAGTTAAAAGGAATAATTTCCATTTATAAATTAAAGTTAAGGATTTTCATCCCCCAAGATATAAAAAAAATATTTAACAACATACTATAGAAGATTTTTTTTATCCATATAATTTCCCTTTTAACAAAAATTAAAAATTTTCATTATTTTCTAATAAAACAATTGCCTTATCCAAAATCAAACACTCTGTATACATAGATAATTAATAATTAGTGATTTCAGTATTTTACATATATAATTTTTACACGCATAATATTACCCTTTAAGATTCTTATACATAAATACAAAGTGTACACGCATAAAAACTTCTGATGATTTTAGTACCTTAATTTTACTAGAAAAAAAATCACCTAACAAAATATAAAATTATTTACTTCCAAATATATTTTCTGACAAAGTAATCAGATATTCTGAAAGAATTTATATATTACAATACCAATGCGGCACCTATGACTAATTACTGAAACAGTTTTTAGCAATAATTATGAATTATAATAATACTTGTGGGATTTTTTAACCACTATTATTACAGGGAACTTGTATCAATTATGTGTTGTTTATCTTTGAGTATCTTTATGTAATTATTTTCCCCATAAATATAATTCTTTAACAATAAGTATTATTTAATTTTATAATTATCAAGAAATGAAAGCATAAAAATCAGAACTCACAAACTTTACCACTCATTTAACTTTAAATCATTCAATGGATACAGAGTATATATTTCATATGGAAAATGAAACTATTTATTATTTGTTTGTCATTAAATTTTTTAATGTTATCAACGATGTGCTCTGTAGAATTCTGTAAGTATCGCTTTTTTTAGATGTCAATTTTCAGTATTGTATTCCACGTGATACCATTAAAATAATACGTGTCTCTTATTTATACAGCTAGTTTTGTGACACCATGTAAGAAAGATTTGGTAGACTTGAATAAATGCATTGTCAATACATTGGAAACTCTCAGACCCCACTTGGGAGGAGGTATGGTAGTATAATATAATGATTTGCTTTGTGTTTTAATTTTTGTACGCGATAAAATTGATTATATTAAAATGTGTTTAATTTCTTAACAGTCATATTATTTTTTTGGTGTTTTGAATAGTATTTTAAAATAATTATAGACAATTTTGAAAGGTGAATGACTATATCTATGAAAATATTTTTTAGGAATTCCCAAATACAAAATACCTCCTTTAGATCCCTTCTCACTACCGAGGCTAGAAGTGAACCACTCGTCGGATTCATTTACCATATACGCGATACTGATGACACTAGTAATATCAGGAGCAACCAAAGTAACAGTATCCAAACTAAGGTAATAAGTCAGTAAATTTTCATAGAAAAATGTACCCTTTTATCTTTTTTAAAAATTTAAATTAGTTGAAGAGTTGAAAAATATAAGAGTTGAAGACACTATTTTTTATTTTCTGACTCAAATTTTTAAATGAACAGATAATTTTTTCTAGTGTAAATCTTTCGGATTTGACGGGATCGGTGAGCATGGAATTCCCCGATTTGAACGTGAGCACATTATACGATATGGACACAGATGTAATGAATTCCATGACATTGAAAGGGGTAGGACATTGTAATGCAACCATTAGTTAGTACCATATTTTATTTTGAATACTAATTTGTTTTTAATTATTAAAATAATAATTATAAAAATGATTTAAATCAATTTAAGTCACAATGGATAATATTACACAGGGTGATTGACTAACTATGCCTCACGATTTTTCTTTAAAATTATCAGTGTTATCAAATATATAATTATTTTATTTGTTGAGCTATTTGACAAGAAAAATAAAAACTCCATCTTCATCCCTTTACCCTTAAATCAATATCAACTTTAGTTTTTCAAATAGCATCTCAGTTTTTTTTTTTTTTATTAATCTTGTTTAGCATAAAAACAAATTCTCGAAAAAAAATCCAAATTTTAAAAAATTCTAAACGAGATATTATTTAAAGTTTAGGGGATTTAACAAATAAAACAGGAGTCGGGTAAGTACAGTAACATTAATGTTTAATGTACCAATAAAAACTACCGGTGTATCGCAACAGGAAAAACTTGGGTACGCTTGCTCCTCTCTAATGTGAGTAATACTCACGTCCCCTAAACTTTAATGAATCATAGCCACTGATAATTGAATAAAAAAAAAAAAAATTTTACGAACAATTTTTTTTAAAACTAAATCTAATCTGATTATATAAAAAAATAGGGTTACTATTTGGAAATCGAATGTTGATACTGATTTAAAACATAAGGGATGATCATAAAAATTTAATTTTACTCACTGAGCAGCTCATGATAGAAACATAATATTTCAAAAAAAAAAAAGATATCTTATATTTTCAGAGATAATTTTTGAGGCATAGTTAATCAATCACTCTCTGCATACAGTGTTAAAAAAAACTTCGATGCAAATCTGCAGATAGTGTTTAGTTTTAAGAAAAGATTGTCGGATTATTACAAAAATAACATCAATTCCTTTTTCCTTAATTGTAACCTGATTACACCTTTTATGGTTCATAAGTATAATACATGAATAAATACTTATTATAGTAATTAATTTTTTCATCCATACTTCAGCATTGTAATTTTAGTTCATGTTATGTACGTAAGTAAACACTTATTACGTTATTTACTAATAACAGTACGCGATTTCTTATCTATGAAAACTATTAACATTTGAATAAGCATTTGTAATTGAAATGAAAAAATAAGAAAAAAATAATTATGATTATAAAAAAAAAATTTTAGAAAAATTGTCTAAAACATGTTGAATTTTTAATTAAATAAATTCATATTTCATAANATTCATGTTATGTACGTAAGTAAACACTTATTACGTTATTTACTAGTAACAGTACGCGATTTCTTATCTATGAAAACTATTAACATTTGAATAAGCATTTGTAATTGAAATGAAAAAATAATTATGATTATAAAAAAAAATTTTTAGAAAAATTGTCTAAAACATGTTGAATTTTTAATTAAATAAATTCATATTTCATAAATTTAAACGTGAATAATAGTGTATAAGTGCATTTATTATGAAATCTCCTAACAAGGAATATCCTATAATAATATGATTACAATTAGTGATGGGAAATATCGAATAGTAACTATCGAACTATTCGATAGTCATTCAAAAACTATTCGAATAGTAAAAATATTCGATAGTTCACAATATGTTCGAATATTTTTAAAAACTATTCGGTACCTCCATTCAAATAGTTTTTAAAATGTTTGATAGTTTATGCTAAAAATAAAATATTCGGTGGTATAAAAATAGTTTGAATAATTAATCAATAGTTTAAAATATTTGAAAATGAACATCACTAATTTTTTTTATTATTAATTGTATCCTATTTATAATCTTAGTACCCTGAATAAACAGTTTTAAAACAATCCTATTTAGATCGTTAGTGTTATTAAAACAGCAAAACTATAATTTTACATAAGACCAATATTTTAGAAAATTTAACTTACATATTTTTTTTTGCGAAACATTTTATTGTAAAATGATTATTTCGAAAAATAAGAATGATTTTTATTAAAAAAATGAATTTTACCAAATTATTTTTTATTTTAATTTTTTGAGCAAGTAAAAATAATTTTAGAAAATTTTTGTGAATACCATTTTAAAAGAAAATATTAAAATATATAATTTATATTCTATACATGAATTTTCAACCCATATTTATCAGTTTTTACCAACGACTCACAAACTAAAAATAAATATAATGGTACTTTTTACTGTTATTAATTGTATAATAATTTATTTTAAGTATTCGTTAATTATCTTCTTATTATAATTAATTGTACTTAATAAAAATTTTAATTAGAACTAATCGAATATTTTTTGAAACCATTCGCTAGCCCATTCGAATATTTTTAAAAACTATTCGATAGTTTTTTAAAACTATCGAATACTATTCGATAGTTTAAAATATTCGAAAATGCCCATCACTAATTACAATGATAGAATCACACAAATTAATAATTGTTATCACTTTTAACTTAGCTAACCATGGAACACTCGTAGTTGACATACGATAATGTATCTAACTTTTGTTGTACAGATTAAAGATAATCATTTTCGTAAAAAGCGCGTTAAATGTTATTATTATCCTTGGAAAAGAAATCTCCTACTGTTACCAGTAAATAACGGTCAATTTTTTTTTTTTTTAATGGCAACATACATATTTAACTAGCTTATAAAATATAAAATAATCTAATTAAGAAAATGACTCACATACTTTTGAGAACAACTTTTGAAACACTATTTTAGAAGCTAGTTAGATTTGTTCCACTCTGTATTTTCAAATAAATTTTGATACTTAACTAAAATGAACTGATCATACAAAAGCCTATTTAAATTTGAACAACATAAATTAACTATCTTAGTATATAATACTTTACTAATAATGTGATATAACTAATAAAATAAATAAAAAATTTATATACAAGACAAGTCTTCAGAACATATATATATATTTTAACTTATAGTATGTAACACAAGTTTTAATTTAATATATGTTTAAAAGTCGCAGTATTTCCAGAACACTTTCAAAAGTTAAGTTGAAAAAGATCAATTTTTCATACGTATGTATAATATTTTAAACTCCTCTGTATAATATTCCGAAATTAAAAAAAAAAAACCAGCACAGTAGTGACGTGGCATAGTATAATGATATCTGACAGTGATTAAAATCGCTATAAAAAAAAAACGCTTCGATGCAAATCTTCTTTAGATAGTGTTTAATTTAAAAAAATTGGTGGATTATTCCAAAAGCTACATTATCTGCTATTTCCTTATTAATATCCTTAATAAGATAAAGTATGTCGAATGAAAAAGGGATTATTAAAAAATATTATTTCTCATAAAAAAATTGTGTTGATCTATACACTTTTCAATAAGTTATTGCATTATAAAAATTTAAAAATGGAAAAAATATTGAGAATTTTCACACAAAAATAGCATTGGGTAGCCTTTTTTACCATGAAGACAAAATAAAATCCGAAATTTTATTTTTTCATAATAAAGTACATTACATTATCTTTAATTTAAGATATATCAAAGTGTCAGACTTTCCGGAACACTTACTAAAAAGTTAAGTGTAAAAGTAAATTTTTTGTGAAAAAATTGTCAGTTTAAATCCCCCCTGTGGGCAGGTAAAGGGTTAAATTTATAAAATAATATACCAACTGATAGGTAAAGACATTAAACATCTATAAAAAAAAAATTATATTGATTTGTTTATTTTTGAAAAAGTAATGACAGTTTTAAGAAAAAAAAATTGAAAAAATTAGCGATTTTTAAATTTGTAATTTTTTTGGAGATTTCCCCCATTTACGGGGAACGAGGGAATTTTTTTCAATTTTTAGGGTAATGTCTTTGACTAGATACGATTTGTGATCTTTTGATGTATCGTTGAAAGAAATCGGTTCGGTGAGAGCTGAGAAAAAGTGGTAACAGACACACACACAAAAAACACATCATAGTAAAATTAATACCTTCTCAGCTCGCAATCGAAGCTAAAACATGTTGTATGAAAGGAACATGTATAAACTATTAATAAAATAGATTATATTAATCCTGTCGTTTTTCAAAGAGTTATATCAATATAAAAATTAAATATAATGTATGAAATCGAAAATTTTAATACAAAAATAATATGCTTCTTAACAATAGTGACCAACTACTTTAGAATATGGTAAAAATTCTTTAATTTATAGAACTAACATAAGCTTTATCTGAATTTGATTAAAGGACGCAGTATTTCTGGAACATTTTCAAAAATTAAATTAACTTTTTATACAAAAGTTGCTATTTTAAACCTCTTTGTATGCTGTTAAAGGGTCAGATTTCCAAATATATCTAGATATATATACTCAAAGTATTTATACAAAAATTTTATAACAGCTAAAAAAATTTTCAAAATTTGCTATTTTTTGTGGAATGTTCTCAATTTACAAGGAATGAAAATTTTTAAGGTTTATGTGATTAAGTAGACACAATTTTTTATCTTTTGTTGTATCGAAGATAAAAATTGGTTATAGTGAACTGAAAAATAGTAGCGAGATATACACACATCAAAAATAATAATAATTAACACATCATAGTAAAATTAATACCATCTCAGCTTTGAATCTATTCTAATATTCTGTATAATGTTTCATAGACGATAAAAATGTACAAATTATTGAAATCAATTATAATTATTTAGGTAATTTAAAAGTAAATCTAACTGGTCGAGCAGAGTTGACATCAAAAGATATGAATGGTAAAACTTATTTGAAATTAACACATGTAAAAATTACTATGCTTATTGGAGATGCAGTGGGGCGACTTGTTGACAGCAGCAACGACGAAGAAAATATAATGTTAAGTTAGTTTATGCTAATAAATCCTTTCATCATAGACGTATTAATGAATTTTATGCTCTAAATAAGAAAAAATTACAACATTTAATCCAATTAAATTTTTTTTATGAATAATATTTTTTTAGATAGACGCTAAAAACGCCAAAGATCTCGCAACCTAACCTCTTTCAAAATACGTCTCTGACCTTAACTATTAATTTTAGTAATTGTATAAATTATTTTAGCGGAAGCTGCTAACACGTTTTATGATATCAACCGAGCAGAGATGTTAGAAATGTTTACCCCGATAGCTGAAGAGATAGCAGAAGCTCTAGTAACAGAATTGGGTGGTCAAGTGCTGTCATCATTACCATATAATGAAATGTTTGTAGATTGATAGTAGACTATGTAGACATTTAAGTTGTTATAAAGTTAACCTTATTAAATATAATATTTTACTATAGAAATATCACTTACATTTTTGATAATAGTTAATAAATCAAAAAATTATTTTTAATGAAAAATAATAATTAAAAATTAATTAATTATTTCATCAGATAAGTAGTTTTTTATAATGACTTTTTTAAACTTTTAAGAATAAATGTATTTGTATGAAACCAAAAAATTATTTTAATATTATTGTATAATATACTTTTTATAATTTTAGACCAATGGTCGCTTAAATTGATACCGCAAAAGTTTCATTTCATAAAATGAAATGTAAAAAATTTAAAGGGATTGATGCAATTATTTTTAATAAAAAAATTTTGTTACTTATGAATAAATACACTACAAGGAATTTTCATCAGAAACAAAAATATACTTTTCTAAATCAACTTTTCGCGATGTTTTCAAATGTACAATTAGATTTTTCTATCACTTCTAAGTTTTAATATTATTACTTATTATTAAAAAAAAAACCAGCACAGGGGGGTCGCGGCACTGTGGTGCGTGGCATAGTTGGGTTAAGTATAATGATATCTAACAGTTATTAAAATCACTATCATAAAAAAAGACTTCGATGCAAAGCATTAGACAGTCTTTAGTATAAAAAAAATTGATTGGCTAGCGTTAAAAGAAATATCACGAACAAAAGAAATATTATGTCCAATAAATTATTCAGTAGAATTAAAAGAATTTAATAAATTAGTTCATATTGTTTTATTAATTTGATTTACGGCTAAAGTTTTTTTTTTAATATTAAAGTATATTACATAAGCTTTAATTTAAGATATATATATAAAAATTTCAGTATTTCCAGAACACTTTCAAAAGTTAAGTTGAAAAAGTTCTATTTTCTATATGCATTTTTTAGATTAGAAGCCCCCCGTATATAGGGAAATGATCTGATTTAATAAAAAAGCATGTCGAATGAAAGAAGTATATAAATATTATTTCTTATAAAAAAATTGTATTGATCCATACATTTTTCAAAAAGTTATAAAATTTTAAAATTAAAAATGTAAAATATAAAATCGAGAATTTTAACACAAAAATAGCATACGGTAGCCATTTTCACCATGAAGACAAAATAAAGTCTGACATTTTTTTTCCATAATAAAGTATATTACATTTGCTTTAATTTAAGTTATATATAAAAGTGTCAGTATTTCTGAAATACTTTCAAAAGTTAAGTTGAAAAAGTTAATTTTTTGTAAAAAAGTTGTCATTTTGAATCCCCCCTGTGGGCTGGTAAAGGGTTAAATGTATAAAAAAATACATCAAATGATAGGCAAAGTCATCAATCATCTATAAAAAAAAAATTATATTGATATGTTCATTTTTGAAAAAGTTATGGCTGTTTTTAGTAATAATAATTGAAAAAAATTCTAAAATTAGTGATTTTTAAATTTGTAATTTTCTTGGAGATTTCCTGCATTTACGGGGAACGAGGGAAATTTTTTCAATTTTTGAAGGTGATGTCTTCTATTAGATACGATTTGTGATCTTTTAACGTATCATTGAAAGAAATCGGTTCGGTGAGAGCTGAGTAAAAGTGGTAACAAACACAAAAAAAACACATCATAGTAAAATTAATACCTTCTCAGCTTCGCATCGAAGCTAAAATAATTTATTTTACCATAACTTTTACCTCAATTTCAATTTTATTATTAGAAAATTTTAAGAGAATTAAAAAAATTGTATCGTTAACATTATATTAATGTTAGGAAGTTTTATAATTACTATTTATAGTAAATTTATCAGAGTAACAAATATTTTTTTACATTTTTATGGTAATAGATAACTTAAATAGAAGTAATAGTAATAATTTCCTAGTAACTTTTGTTGTTTGAAAAGATTCTACAATTGAAATATTCAGAACTTAATTAATTTTAATGATTTGCTTTAACTAAATAAACCAATCAGAACAAAAAACGTATTATTTTTATTAACTTTGATGTCTGTTTTCACCGTATAAATATATAAATATATAATATATAAATATAATGCACGAAAAAAGGAATATTTTTACTTTTTGTCATTTTTTGTAAGTACTTTATATTAATTATTTATTTACAAAAATGTATAATTTTCTTAAACCAACTGCTGACATTCAAAATTAGAGTTCAATATTGTCTATTAAAATAAATTATTTGAACAATACTTTATTAAATTTATAATTTATGCTTTACGCAATCTATTTTTGAATTTAAAAATCCTACTTAAATATTCCAAAGAAATACTTATCTAGACTTTTTCAAAAAATATATACTGATAGTTTATACATTAACAATAAAAAATGTTTTTTAAAAAATATACTGTGTTGCTTTATTTGGTATGTGTTGTGGAGACTATATTATTTTACGGAATGATATTCGGGAATCAAGTTGATAAATCATTAGAAACTGCTTTAAAATTAGACACAGGATTCGATTATCCTACTTATGATGAACTATGCAATTTGTCAATTTTAGAATGCAATAATAAAATCTTGGCAGGAGAACAATATCTAGAAAATGTTGAATTAATGTATAAAACGACCATAATATGCAATGACCTTTATTGTGGTAATATATTTAATTATCTTCGATATTTGGCTCTTTTTTTTTTCACTACAATTCCACCTAGCCCTAGATATGATATAAATAGAATTACTTTAAATGAATCGATTACAAAACAATTTTTAGTTACAATGATAAAGCTTGATTTCAGTGATAAACAAACCATTTTTTGGATGATACATTTATTTAATAAGTATATTCAATTGTTTGGTAATGACATACATCAATATGGCCGGTTTATTTATCCTACTCTCGAAATCGTTTACAATTCAATAAAATATGCAAGTACGCAAATATGTCGAAAAAATAATAAATATGAAGTATATAATATTCCTTCGAATGATTCGGAAAAATATTCTACTCTCATGAACCTAATAGATGTTATGAATCGAAGAAAAGAAATCAACAAAATTGTACTAAGAAATACAGAAGAACAAGAAAATTCGTTCTCACTCAGAAGTATTTACCTGTGTGACATAATTGAAAACAAAGAATTATTGAGAACTGTTATAATAGATTTTGGTGAACAGAGTGAAGATACTTTTGAAGCTATCTACAATGAAATATATGAGGCATATACAACGGCAAAGAATTATTTTTGGTTCAATTTATGGATGAAACAAATTGGAATTTACCAAAAAAAATTGTTAAACGTTTTTAAAACCGTTTTAATGCACTTAGTGAGAAAAGGTTTAATGTACAGTTCATTAATGTTAAAAAAGAAAAATGTAATAAATGCAAAGAATAGTCTACGTCGAATGCATTATTTTGTTAATCATATTATTATATTATTTGAAGGTCAAGAATTTCATGATGTTCAAAAAGCATTAAACTCTTTTGATGAATTACCGACATTCACTGAAAATTTTAACCTATATTTTATTGTCGTTATTCCAAAAATCGAAAGCATAATAAATGAAATAAAATCAAACTCTTTTAATCTTATTTTAAATAATTTAATTAGTGAACCAGGCTACGAATCGACTATCCATGATAGAACTAAAAAATATATTTCAGAAATTGTGTTAAGTGTTAATGAAATCAATACTATTAAAAATTTAGAGACATTCACAGATGATAATGATATAAATATGAATTTAGTAAGAATATATTCATTTATAAAGTTAATTGAGAGATCATTCCAAAATGTTAACTTAAAAACAATATTATCATATTCAAAATTTACTGAATTTTTCCAAATATTCGGTAGCTATAGTGATAATAACAGAGAAAATTATGTGAGATTATTGGAATTATGAAAAATGTTTTGTTAATACAGTTAAAGCAAATATTAATCAGTTATTTTCAATTAAATTAATATATTTCTAAACAATACTAAAATTATTTTTAATTTTATTTAAGTTTATTTTTTAGATTGTTTTGTGTAACGTGAATTTTTTTTGGTGAATCATTTAATTTATATTCATACATTCAATTGATAATAATATTATTTCTTTATTATCGTACAAGTAAATGTTAATAAATATTTTAACTATGCAAATTTTTTATAAACTATTCTATTTTAATGAAAAACCTAATCTAATTTTAAATGTTCATCCAATATTATATACTTACTGTGAGTGTTTCTTATTAAGAAGATAGTCTTGAGTTTTATGTGTCTTCTAACAAGACATCCATAAAAGTCTGCAGACAAATCTAAACGTAACCTCATAGTTTGAGGTAACAATTTACTATTAGAACCTTTAGAACATTAAATTTTAAATGTTTTTTCAAAAAGATTTGAGCAAGTAGCAATAGTCCAAAAAAGCACGATAATTACAATTATATATGGTAATCGGTTATCATAAATTGTTATATTAAATTAATCTACTGATTATCATGCTTGATAGTAAGGCTAAGTTTATTAGCCTTTCCCTATTTGTGTTAAATGTTTAGTGTAAGCTTTCATTTCCAATGTTTCGTTAAAGAATTGGTTCTTTTCCAATTTTTACTAACACAATAGCCCGATGGCAGATTAAATGATTATGGCTGATTATCAATATAATTTTCTAACACAATAGGCGTCATCCAGAAGATCTTTTTGGGTCGCGGCGGGTATTCAGCGGCAATGGTGATGATGACGATAGATACATTGCTACACATGACGTCACAACTAGTTTATAAAACATTCTATCAAAAATTGTTGTGCACCGTTGCGTTAATTTTATTATCATGAATATGATAATATCTAAAATAAGCGGTAGTCTACCTTGGAACCCAATAGGAAAATTTTAATTTTAATCTTACAAGGAGAGGTCACGGAGATGGGGTCACCGATTTTCATAAAATTTATATAGATTTAATATATATTGAATACAGAATCAGACATATTTGGAATTTTTTGCCAATGCCCTCCCTAAGTCGAGAAAATTGACTTTGAAAATTTTAATTAGCTTAAATAGGGTCATTTTTCGTTAAGTAAACAGTGCGTGTTATGGTCCAATCTACAATACGTGATTCTATGACACGTACATACTCGGGATCTATAAGCCTCATCATATTATTAAACTTTTTGCATTTTTTTCATTGTTTTCTCTTTGAATTATTAATTTTATGTAATATTTGTTAATTTTTTTTTTACAAATAAATAAATTCTATTTTTTATATT